ATAAAGAACAATGGTTATCAAGACAATGGCTGAGAGAAGATATTTCTAAGGTTTATATCTCAAAAGTATTTTAAATCACAAAAGTATTTTATATCTCAAAAGTATTTTAAATTTCAAAAGTATTTTGTTGTAGTTGTTAAGTAGTTCTTTTGATTTTTACATCTTTTTTTAGGAAGAAGAGTTTTTACTTTCCTTTCCATTTATAAATTCATTTTGGTAAGATCTTTAAAACAATTTACGATATTTTTATATAATTTATATTTATATAATAATATTTTTTAATTATATAAGTTATATTTTTAATTTATATTTGCTCAATAAACATGTAACATTTTTTTTATATATGAAGTTTCATTTAAGATTACTTGATTGCTCAAAAGGGATTCTAATAATTTATATATTCATTATAATTTTGATAAATAGTTCAAATATTATATCAAAAGGTAGAAAGGTAGGTGAAGCTCCTTAGCCATTAGAATTTATATTTATTCGTTATAATTTTTAGTGCTCAGATAATAGTTAAAGCTGTTGATTCGCTCTCAGATTTGATGAAATATTCCTTACATGAATTACGAGTTTTGCTCAAGTGTATTCCTCAACGTATTATAGAGGTGGAAGTTTCTTTCTTTGTATTATTAAGTAAAATTGAATTTTTTAAAAATAAATTTTAGCTAATGTTATTTAGATATGAGAGGTTACATGAAAGTTTTAACAACAACAGCAAAAATAATTTCTTCTTTTTATTCGTTTTATGCAAAAATATGACTAAAAACTGAACAAAGTTATTTTATATAAATTGACCTTTATGGAGATTTTTGAGTACTTTTTTTATACATATTAACTACTTAAACTTAGTGTTAAAAGAAACTGTTTTTTTTTTTTGTTTTTGTTTTTTAATATAAAACTCAAAACGTTAAATTTTGGAATTGCAAGAGCTATATTTTTAATTCATATTTGTTATAATAAGCTTCCATGTATATATTTTATAACAACCCTGCAATAATAAACGCTGCATTTTTCAAGCAATAAAATCCATCATTGTATTGAAATAAGACAATAGTTAAATTAATAAAAATGATGCCAAATTAGTTAAAAGTAAAGTAAAAGTAAATTTCATGCAAAGCAGTGTTCTTACTTTTGTTGGTGTAAGCTTGTTCTGTACTAATATATTTTCCATATTTAAAATGCAATTTTTAATTTAAAAAGACTTTTCAGAAAAAGAAGAAAATTTAATAACAATTAAAAAAGTCCATCATATTTAGATAGTACCTGTTCCAAACCATTTTGTATATATTTTTACATATATTATTTTATTTATTACTTATTAAATTTTAAATCTTTTCTTATATGCAAAGTTTTTAAATTATTTAATTAAAAAGAAATCCCCTAACCCTGACACTGTTGTCTCTCTGACTCATTTACTGGCTTTTACCAAAGTTGAAAATATTAAAAGTACACAAAATTGTCATAAAAAATGCGTTTTTTCAAATATGTTTGGCCCTTAAAATAATGTCGCTCAATTTTGGATAATCTTCTGCAATAATATTTGTTAAAATCTATTTTTTTTTTTTATTTTTATTATTTTAATAATTTTGTTTTATAGAATGTTTTTTTTTTAGGCGTTTTACAATGCAAGTCATAATGTTGAGGAATTTTTTCATCAACCTGAATTCATTGTTCAAAAAAGTTTAACCACCACCAACATTTTTGCTTCAAATGATAGAAAAATCAACTTATTAGACAATAATAATATATCTTTATTATTTGACACTCCGGTTAGTAATGAAATAAGTAAAAATTGCAAAGAAAACAACTCACAAACAGAGATGCCACAAGAAAACACATCTCAAACGAGAAAAAATAATAGTGTAACATTAGAGCAATCAAGCAATCATCAGAAATCGCTATTCAATTCTAGACCAGACTCTCAGTTTAATTATCAGTTGCCACATGAAATAAAGTACCTGCAACATGAAATAAATAAACAGCCACACAAAATAAATTACAAACAAGATGAAATAAAACACATGCAACATAAAGGAAATGAACTACCACATAATTTAAATCACCTCACACATGGAATAAGTTACCTTCCACATCAAGTAGTTGACTTGCCACAAGAAATAAATCACTTGCAACATAAAACTAAACACCTTGATGCAAAATACATGTCACAAGAAATAAATTATCATCATTATGAGATAAATCCAGTGACTTTTAAAAATTCTCAATGTTTGAAGGAAAAAAAGTCTCAGCCTGCTGAAAAAAAATTTACTTTTTTTGAAACGCCCTACACTAATGAAACTCAAACTAATGATTTTAAAAAACTTGGTTCGAATTGGAGCGTGAACTGGAATACAAGTGAGAATGATAGTTTTAAAAGTGACGATGACAGTCAAAGTGCAGCTGATGCATCACAAATATGTAAATTGAAACCTAGTCAAAAGGATTTAATTAACAGCGAAAGAAAATTAAAACAACAAAATGAGAAATTTACAAACAAAGCGGAAGATTATAATTCTCATTTTTTCTCTTTTAATTTAACTTCTCCACAGTCAGACAGCAATTTCTTAAAACTTTTTAAAACTCCTTCACAGTCAGACAGCAATTTTTATAAAGTAAATTCACAAATGCATTCACAAAATTCATTTTTAAATTCATCACTATATAGTTCAAAAAATCAGACAACTGCTGAGAGTTTCAAGCAAAATTCAAAAGAAAATTGTATATCTATTAAAAATTTTAATTCTTGTAAACCATTATGGAGACAGCCATTAAATCAGTGTAACAACTCCCGTAATGTTCCCAGGTATTAATTAGGCATTCATAGATATTTTAATTACTTTATGTTATACATGATATCTATTTGTGGGTGTGTAAATGTTTATTGGTATGTGTATATTGGTGCAATTACATATATACTATATATTGTATAAAAATTTGTGTTAGTTTGGATTAAGGCTGGCATATTATCTAATATGCAAACTTTAATGCAAATTTAAATATTCTGCCTACTTTAATTTTTGAAATGTTCATTTAAATTGCTGCTTTTTTTTAATAAAAAAAAAGAATAAAAATAAATAATATTTATTTTCTTTTTGTAATTGATTCTATAATAATTATGTCCTTATTGATGTATGCACCTCATTTTGGGTTACCTCAGTATGATGTTTGTTTAGTATTACATATTATGCTCAAAGTTGTATGCATGTTTTGATATAATCATTTTTACAGCTAACTTTTATTAACTTTTAATAAAAATGATTAAAAAAATTTTTCTATCAAATGGAAGCAAAGAAAAAAACATTGCAAAATAGTTTCATTCGTTAATTCATTGGTTACAAAATAGTTGCAAAATAAAAGTACATCTACATTTTCTTAGTAATAAAAGTACATCTACATTTTCTTAGTAATAAAAGTACATTTATATTTTCTTAGTAATAAAAGTACATCTACATTTTCTTAATAAAAGTACATCTACATTTTCTTAATAAAAGTACATCTACATTTTCTTAGAAATCAAAGTACATCTACATTTTCTTAGAAGTAAAAGTACATCTACATTTTCTTAGAAATCAAAGTACATCTACATTTTTTTAGTAATAAAAGTACATCTACATTTTTTTTTAGAAATAAAAGTACATCTACATTTTCTTAGTAATAAAAGTACATCTACATTTACTTAGTAATAAAAGTACATCTACATTTTCTTAACAATAAAAGTACATCTACATTTTCTTATTAATAAAAGTACATCTACATTTTCTTAGTAATAAAAGTACATCTACATTTTCTTAACAATAAAAGTACATCTACATTTTCTTAGAAATCAAAGTACACCTACATTTTCTTAGAAGTAAAAGTACATCTACATTTTCTTAGAAATCAAAGTACATCTACATTTTTTTAGTAATAAAAGTACATCTACATTTTTTTTAGAAATAAAAGTACATCTACATTTTCTTGGTAATAAAAGTAGATCTACATTTTCTTAGTAATAAAAGTACATATACATTTTCTTAGTAATAAAAGTACATCTACATTTTCTTAGAAGTAAAAGTACATCTACATTTTCTTAGAAATCAAAGTACATCTACATTTTCTTAGTAATAAAAGTGCATCAACATTTTCTTAATAGCATAGTAGAGGCATAAATTTTAATGTGGTTTTAATTGCAGCAGGTAATTTATATAGATAAAAAAAATTAATTGCCTGACAACTGATCTTTAATAGATACAAGAGACTTTGTTTCTCATTACAACTTTCACTTTTCGCAAGTTAGTTTGCCTATTTAAAATGATCCAAAAACAAAATAAAAAAGGATCAGAGGGGTGATGTAAATATAATTAGCTTTATACTTTTGAAATTTTGATATTTTTTACAAGTATTTAGTAAAATATTTTAAAGTGAGGAAGTGTTAATTTAATTATATTTAATCTTTATTTAAATATACTTAAGGGATTAATTTGGTGTGCAATATAGTATAAAATTTTATAAATATAGTTTTTTATTAGTGATTTATGACACAATAACATAGAAATAGTATCTTTACTTCCTTCTTTTCATCCCTCATGGCGATGATTACATTATATTATGTTGTATTTCATATTCTATAATACAATTTTCTGTTAACTAGAAATTAAAATGCTTAACAGCCATCCATGTGTTGTTATATGTTTTTCCTATATTATTGAAATATCATTGCTTGTCCTATAAAATTGAACAAGCAATGACCATGTATATGTATACATATAAAGTATAATATGTATACATATAATAAATGCACTTACATATTTAGAAATTTTCACTACTTCTATTTTTAAGATATTTGAAATAGCTTTATTTAATATTTTTTGTCTGTGTAAAAAAAAACAATGACGTATAATGCAAAAATAAAATTGATGTGTTTATTAGCTTTTTATGTTATTGTTTAGACAGGCAGTGAAAGCCATTCAAGTACATAGAAGCCAAATAAGCAACTTTAATGAAGTTGATTTTTGTAAATCTTCCAAATTAAATTCAAAAGATTATATCAATAGGAAACATACTGCAAGTCAACCTTTTAGCATGGTTAGTTTTATCAGTGCTAGTGACAGTTTTTTACATCGTCGTCATCATCATTTTTATAAAGTGTTAAATTCTATTTAGATACCCCAAGAGAATTCATCTAGTTTTCTCAATTCTGATGGTTTGTGATGTTTACATTTTTAATTTTAGTTTTTTTTAGTTTTTGTATTTTAATTTTAAGTTAATAATTAATTTAAGTTACACTTTAAGTCAATTAAACACTTTTACAGTTTGTGTTCCAGAATAGATTTCCATCATAATCTTAAAAAAGTGTTCTCCAGCACTCTCTTAAAATTTTAAAAAGTGCTAAATAAGTGGTTCCAATTTTTTAAAAATCTAGAAAACACTTTGACCTCTCCAACTATCCTACAATTAGTCTTCACTCTGTTGTTAGTTTCTTTATATAAAAGTTTTGAGGCTTTTAAATTATTTCTTTCTAACTGCAATAGTAAAGTTATTCTTGAAGACCTATCCTCTTCTTTATTTCGAGTAATTTGAAGGATACCACAAGGTTCTATCTTTGCTCCTATTATTTCTCATCTACAATAAAGATCTTCTTGAAATCTAAAGTGGCTACTTAACTTTATACTCTTGACAAAAAAATCTTCACTTTTTAATTGCTTAGAACAAGTAGCCAATTTTAAATTTGATCTCTCTTTTGTAGCAGTTTAAGGCTTACAGTGGCTTATGGATTTTAATACTGGACTTTAAATCCACAATTTTTGTTAGACAACAAAACTCATTTACTGCAAAAAAATATTGCAATATTGTTGGCATTCCTATATTGACAAATAACAACTCTTTTACTCTCAGACAATGTCTCAAAGCACATGTTAAATGTAATTTGACCTGCTTTATCTGCCAAGCTTGAGCCAATATCCCATTATTTCAAGGTTGTATTTCTTTCTTTTTTCTACAAATACAATCATGGTCAATGCTCAAACCAGCTATCATCTTTATTACGATAAACCTATTAGGATATCATCTCTATAAGGATAAACCAAAACTTATTCTTGCTTGGCTATTTATTCAACAATCCTTTTACTGTATCTGTCCCTTCATGCTATAAAAACTTTTATTAATCCAATTTTTTTCCTTGAACATCAAAAAAACCTTACAACTCTTACCCATCTTCATTTTTTCCTTTTTTATACAACTTACAACTTTTTAAGTCTTCGTTTATATGCTTCTTAGTATTTTAACTTGTTCTCTATTTAAAAGTAACTCATAACTTAATAGTGGTTGCTTGCGATCTTATTGGAAGTAAATTAGAGTTTAAAAATATTTAAAAAAAAAGAGACTTTTTGCAAATTTTGTATATATATAAAATTTGAAAAAAGTATTTGCCTTAGGCTCTATATATATATATATATATATATATATATATATATATATATATATATATATATATATATATATATATATATATATATATATATATTATATATATATATATATATATATATATATATATATATATATGTATATATATATATATATATATATATATATATATATATATATATATATATATATATATATATATATATATATATATATATATATAGGCCTTCTCAGGAGACGCGTGTGGTCGCACGCCTTGAATGACCACGCACATATATTTTTTTATTGATAACATGGCCATGATTTTTTTTTCAAATATTAAAAATGACGCATCTTAAAAATGCGCTGAAAAAACAAAATTAATTGCTCATCTTTTTTTAATTATTATTAATAATTCATTATTATAGTTATTAATAAGAAAATAGAAACATTAAAATAACATATATAGGCATTTCCATTTTTAACTTACGTTACACGCGCAATAACTTTACCAAATATTAGCTTATTTAAACTTTTAAATTAAACTTTTAGCAATTTTGTATAAAAGTTGTTAGTCTAATAAATAAAATAAGCTTAAAAGTTTTGTGTTCGGTCGAAAGAAAGCTAACTTATTACTAAAAATGCCACTTGCACTGATGTTACACGGAAAACAAGGTAAAAAAAACAAATTCAACTTATAGGTCTCATTTCTGCGAATCAGTAAATCAGTTTGTATAAGAAACTTTTACAAAATGCAGATAATTCTATACCAAATTAAAATTTTTATAAAAACTTTTTTAAAATAAACTTGTTTTTTTGATACTGTATTTTTTACTTAAATTACATCACTTACATTATCGAGCGGTTATCATGATTTTTTTTATCTATTATTAAGAGTTAGAGTTACGTAACAAAAGAATTGCATAAGTATTGAACTCATTCATTAAAAATAATCAACAAAGAAATTTTTTAAAAACTGGTGGCACTCTTCCTGAGTGATTTTTCATAACTTTCATGAAAGTTATCAAACCGGAAGTAATTTTTTCGCAAGACCAAGAGTAACTTCAGAAAAATATTTTACATCTTTATTATTACTTAATTGAGTAATTGGTTTGTTGAAGTTTCTATTTACACTTCTTAGGTTTATGCGTATTGCTTTATTTTTATAAGATTGAATTTTTATAATGCTGCTAAGCAGAGCCGATACAAGTAGGGGTCACGTGGGTGGGTGGGTGGGGTGCCATAACAACTTTTGCCGTCTTAAAAATTAAAAAAAAACATAAAAAAAAAGGTCCTTGTTTTTTAAAATTTACCGACTGCCATAACGATATTTGCCGACTGACTAGTCAAAAAGGGTCACATTTGCCGACTAAGGGTCAAATTTGCTGACCCCCCCCCCCCCCCCACACACACACACCTATCGCACCGGCTTTGCTGCTAAGTTAAATTTTGAAATATTTTAATCTTTTCTAAACATCTATATGTCCACTAAAATAATAGTACATAAACAAACAAAAAAAAAACAATAAAATAAATAATTTTAATACATATGAAAAAAAAATTTTTTTTTTTTTAATTCTCCTTCTATAAAAAGTTTCAGTTTAAACCTTGTCAAGCCAACAGGAAAAAATAATAATTACTTAATGACGTAATTCATTTAGTAAATAAAAACTTAACGAAAAATCGCCAGAATTTTATTAAATGCATGAAAACAAATAAAAATTTATATATTTATATTATTTTTATCTTTTTATTTTATCATTAATTACAAATATATATATATGTGCATTATTGTTAGGTTTTAATATTCTCATAAATAATTGTAATAATATATTATTATTAATAAAAAAAAAACCAATAAGATGACTAATTAGTTTGATTTTTTCAGCGCGTTTTTAAAATGCGTCATTTTTAATAAATGCAAAAAAAATCGTGGCCATGTTATCAACAAAAAAATATATGCGTGGTCATTCAAGGCGTGCAACCACACACGTCTCCTGAGAAGACCTATATATATATATATATATATATATATATATATATATATATATATATATATATATATATATGTATTATATATATATATATATATATATATATATATATATATATATATATATATATATATATATATATATATAAATATTAGGGTGCGTTATTTTTTTAACAATTTTTTCAAACTAAATCCCAACCACCTGGATTAGTTGACCGATTGAATAAAAATGATTTTATGCTAAAATAATAGTTTTTGAAACACATTTTCAAGGTCCTCGCTTTTACAATTTGTGCCCCGAAATCCCAACTTTTTTAACCAAAAAGCAGGGACCTTAAACATTGACATAAAATACCAATTTTTTTTCTCTAAACTCTCTAAACTCTAAAAGGCCTAAATATTAATTTGGAATTGGTTTGAAAGTTTACAATAAAAAAAATATATACTAATTTAGATCAAGAAAAATAGCTTAAAACTCACTAACTTAGTATAATTTTTAAATATATTTAAATAGAAAGACACTTGCGAATGAATTTAACTCATGAGTGTCACAAACAAAAAAAATCTTTCTTTTTCAAACTATTTATTCTGAAAAAATTAGGAAAGATTAAAAAATGAATTTGTGCCATACTTTATACTAAGAATATTTTTTTTTACTATAAACTGCAATTTACAACTATTACTTTAAAAATCAAAAATAAAACGAAGGTTTAAAAAAAAGATGCTACCAAAAATTACGAGATCACTTTCAAAGACATTTTTATTTGAAGAAAAAAAAGTGTTAGAAAAACTTTTTGAAACACAGTTTGCCATAAATGAGGAAATTATTCTTCATATTCATTACAGGTATGATTAAAACAATAAACTGATTAAAAATTATCATTCAATATATTAACTAAGTAATTAAATTTCAGTATGAAAAACGAAATATATAAAATCTAAATTTAATCTTAATAACTCAGGCGTCTGTTAGACAAAAATACTACCACTAAAACTTTGATTGGTTGTGCTTCCCAAGATAAAATGATGTCAGCATGCTTTAAACTAGCAATATGTCCTCAGAACTGCATCTTATTTGCTATAAAGAAACCGTGGATCGATGGACGATATGGCGGCGGCATATTTCATGACAAACACGTCAGGTTTGCTAAATAATCTATAATTATAGTATTTTTATTTTTACTGAATTTTACTTTTGCTTATGTTAATTTGTTAACATGACTCTTTTCATTCTGCCTCTGATATGAGGCAACATTAAAAAGTTTTAAAAGTTAAATAAATGTATGTTCTAGGAAATTATTAAATGATCTAGTTGAAAAATAAGCAACGTTAAAAAAAAATAATAATAAAAAAAGGCAACGCAGCAGAATTAGCTAGAAACATCTTTTAAAAAAATGCTAAGAAAGTTTTTTGGATTAGCTGATATTTGCTCCATTTTGAAGAAGAAACATGGAAACAACCAAGATTCATACATTTCAGATAAGCATTTTTTAAATTATCAAATGACAAAATGTAAAATGACACTTGGTTCAAAGTATTTAGCATATTGCCGAAAGCTGAAAAGATGTCAGTATAACAACTATTCAGCAGATGAAATTAAATCAGTTACTAGTTCTTCAACAGTATTACCTAAAAAATTTGCAAAAGAAGTTGTAATTACAGGTGTTTCTAAAAATATTTCACCTAGAAATACATTTGCTCTCTGATATAGTAGTTACTTCTGGGGGCAGTTTGACAGATTTCTCGCTTTCTGAATCTACTATCAGACATGCAAAAAAGAAAGCAATAAGTACAAGTGCAGTTAAATATCGAGAAGATATAATAAAAGCTGCAATCAAAGTAAATTTCCAATAATCGCACACTTATGGAAAAATCTTGCAGGATATTACTAACGGTACAAAACAAAAAAGAGATCGTTTTGCTGTTCTTGTAAATATCAATGGTAATTTAAGACTTCTTGGCATTCTGCCAATGGAAAATGGTACTGGAAAAACTCATCATGATACTTTAATAAACATTTTGGATGAATATAAGCTGAGAACTTATATAAAGGGTCTGTGCTTTAACACAACTGCAACTAATACAGGAAAATATTTGAGCACAAACATTAGGTTTTGTCAGACACAGGGTTCAATTATATTACAGCTTGCGTGTCAAAGACATGTTTACAAGCTTCACTGTAAACATTTTTGGGAAAAAGTTCACATTGGTAAAACTTATGCTCCTGAAAATCTGATGCTCAAAGTTTTGCAAGCTAATTGGAATGCAACAAAGGAAATATGGATAAATCAAAGTTCAAAAAATTTGACAAAGCAGTAAAGGAATGTATCTAGAAAAGTAGATCAAAAAAACTGTTCAATTTTGCAAATATGCATATGCCAATTTAGTATTTCCAAGAGGTGATTATAAAGAACTAGTAGAGCTTACACTCATCGACCTATATCCAGATGTAAGCTTTAATTTTTATGCTCCTGGATCAGTTTCCCATGCTTGTTTTATGGCAAAGTCTATATATTATTTTAAAATTTAATTTTTAAGTAATTAGTTGCCCTACCAACTTGTTTACAAAAAAAATCAGTAAAATTGCAGAATTTTTTTTCTATATTTTATATTGTGTGGTTTGTGCGCTTCTCTTTAGTTTCCTCTGCACCTTATCAAGATTTAAATGTGTACTGGCAGATGGTCCAGTATAAACGTTGGGTAGAATCTTATGATCCAGGAGCTAATGATGTACTAGAGGGAATCGAAGAAGTGTTGAAATCAATGAAGAGACATATGTGGTATTTGGATCAAACCTTGATTCCATTATGTCTCGCAGATAAAGAACTCGAAGATGATGAGAAAGAAAAAAGTTGCAAAAGTTCTTTTCTCGCAACCTGTTCCTACTCACTATGAAAAGTCTGAAAATCCAATCTTTCTGAAAGATCTAGACTTCACCCAGGAAAAACCACCTAGCTTGTCACAGTTTGTTGGTAGGAACCCATGGTTTATTTTCAGTCTCTTAAATTTGAGTAAAGACGATGATAAACCTTGGCTGAACTGTCCTTCATCTTTTTAGGGCTTTATCCACCAATTTAAAACTTTCATTGAATTTGTTCACTAAATATATGTTGTCAACGACTGCTCTGAATAAGCAATTAAGCTTGTGTCAGAGTCTGTTAATTCTGTTCACAATAAAAGGACAGGCAAGATTTAATGTTGGCTGTTCAGCATAGTAGCGATCAATTCAGGGAGTTCGAAAAAGTACAAACTACAGACAAAGCATAGTTTAGAGAATATTTATTCTATTTTTTACCAAAAACACAAAGAAAAGTTTGTTGAGTTATAGTTTTACAAACTGTTTTTGAAGAAAAGTTTTTCTTGATTATTTACTAATTTATCACTATTGACCTTAACAATATCGTTATATATATTTTTTATCACTATTGACCTTAACAATATCGTTATATATATTTTTTATCACTATTGACCTTAACAATATCGTTATATATATTTTTTATCACTATTGACCTTAACAATATCGTTATATATATTTTTTATCACTATTGACCTTAACAATATCGTTATATATATTTTTTATCACTATTGACCTTAACAATATCGTTATATATATTTTTTATCACTATTGACCTTAACAATATCGTTATATATATTTTTTATCACTATTGACCTTAACAATATCGTTATATATATTTTTTATCACTATTGACCTTAACAATATCGTTATATATATTTTTTATCACTATTGACCTTAACAATATCGTTATATATATTTTTTATCACTATTGACCTTAACAATATCGTTATATATATATTTTTTATTACTATTGACCTTAACAATATCGTTATATATATTTTTTATCACTATTGACCTTAACAATATCGTTATATATATTTTTTATCACTATTGACCTTAACAATATTGTTATATATATTTTTTATCACTATTGACCTTAACAATATCATTATATATATTTTTTAGCATAAAATTTATTATTTTACTCTTACTATCCTAGCTACATGATATTCACCAAAATAAAATTGTTTCATTAAAACGCTTATTTTGCAGCGCCTATATGAAAATCTAATCAAACTATATGCAAAAATAAAACTTTAAGGCAGATGGTACATAAATGTTCTGTAAAAAAAAGTAAAATAGATGGAGGAGGGTGTGTGAAAGAAACTAACTCTCTGCCGCCCACTGCTAACCCTCCTATAGGGGGTCCCTATATTAGAAATTAGTTTTAAAAATTAATTTTGAATCAAATTAGTCTTTGTAAACAAGAATTTGATAAAATTTGTAATGGAAAGTTTGAGAGATAAAAAAATTGGTCAATAGATATATACATAAAATTACCTAAAATTAGAACGTTTCGCACATTTTTCCAGGGTCAAACTGATACACTTTTTAGAAACTTGTAAGTAAAAGTATGGCACGAATTCGTTTTTTAATCTTTTCTAATTTTTTTAGAATAAATAGTTCAAAAAAAAAAAGATTGTTTTTGTTTGTGAGTTAAATTTGTTTGCAAGTGTCATTCAGGCTTTCACAGGAAGACGTGCAATTTCACGTCTTTATATGACCATGCAAAAAAAAATGTTTTAACGATTTGACCACGGCATATTTTTAAAATTTAAAAACGCGCTACCTAAACTTATCTGAAAAAAAATTTAAAAAAATAATAAATATTAACGAAAGAGAAAATAAAAAAAATACTTAGTTAAAGCGAAAACACAAAAAAATAAATATATACATATAATGCAACTAAAACAAAACTCATCAAACTAAAATGCTTAGTCTATTTAATTTACGCATTAAAAAACCTTTTCAATCTTTGTTTCAACATTTTTATATATTTTTTATTTATTTAATATGTTCAAAAGTTAAATATTTCTCATAAAAAATACATAGTTATATAAATAAAATAAAAAAATATTTTATTAATACTTTTTTTAAAATTAATTAGAAGTGTTTTGTTTTTTACTTCATTAAAAGCGTTTCGATAATATAAAAGCATTTAATATCAAACTTATTAAATTGTAACGGTTTTCTAAAACTTTTTTTTTTAACAAAATTTTGTTTATCTTTTAAAATGCATTAACTTTAATCATTCTTATATTTAAATTCGTTAAAGAGACTTTCGTAGTTGTAGAATGTCATCGTTTATAAAAACAAAACAATTTTTTATTTTTTAATAAGATTTATTTTAGAAATGAACACAAATAATTTATATGTTTTAAATTAAAAAAATATATACAACTGTCAATTATATTTAAAAAACCAAAACTTTTTTTCAGTAAATTGTTACTTTATTTAAAATCGTTTTGCTAATATAAATACATTTGTTAAGAAGTTTTGATGTAATTAATTTCACTTTTTTAGTTCCAAACCAATTCTAAATTGATATTAAGGCCTTTTAGAGTTCGTAGGAAAAAAATTGGTATTTTATGTCAATGTTTTTGATTACAAAAATTGGGATTTCGGGGCACAAATTGTAAAAGGAGGGGGACCTAAAAAATGGGTTTCAAAAATTTTTTTTCAGTGTAAAATCATTTTTATCCAACCAGTGGTTGACACTAATCCAGGTGGTTGGGATTTAGTTTGAAAAATTTGTTGAAAAATGATGCACCCTAAAATATATATATATATATATATATATATATATATATATATATATATATATATATATATATATATATATATATATATATACATATATATATATATATATATATATATATATATATATATATATATATATATATATATATATATATATATATATATATAGCCCTTGGAGTTAGGGTCAGCATTCTGCAATGCTGACCTAAATGTGTTTGAGGTCGGCAAAAAATTTAGCTGAGGTTTCTTGGCAACAAAAATATTCACAACTTTATGGTTTATGGAAAATGGGTGGAAACTTTAAACTATCATATTGTTGATATTTCCAAATATGTCATTTTGCCACAAAGTTGTGATATCTTTTTTTATTTATATTTTACATTTATGTTATTATATATTGCAAATTTTATATGTTATACTTCAAATTGTACAATATATAAATAAATGGGTAATACTACATATTTCAGGTTAAAAATTTTTTTTTTTTTCATCATTTATTATTATACATTATAAAAAACTTAATCTATTGCTATTCTACTATCATAATGTTTTAAATTATGTAAAAAAGTTATTAAAAAAATTTATGAAATAAATTTTAAATTCATTTTCTTTAGAAGAAATTTCTTATTTAAAAACAAAGAAACGCAAGCTATCATACGAAAGAGTTCCTGGTGCAACAAATGGTCAGACAAGACTAACTTTTCTTTAAAGTTTCATAAAAAATATTTTAGTTACTAAGTTATAATGTTCACTTTTTATCATGCTTTTAATCAAAGATTCATGTTAATATGCAGCTGCGAAGTTAATTTTTGTATCTGTGTTGGTTTGATAATGTTTCATAAAAGTTAGCAGGTTTTTCAAAATTTAATTTTTGTTTATGTCAATTTTAGACTGTAAATATTGTGTTTTTTAATCTTTACAAATGTAAATGTTTTACTGAATTAAAATTTGTTTTGAGTTAAACACGTTTCATTTTTTGAAGTCTGATTTTAGTCTTTAAGTTGTCAAATTTGTCTTTAATTTGTTCATATGAATAAGTCTTCAATTCGTTCATATAAATAATTCTTCAATTTGTTCTTATAAACAAGTTTTTAATTTGTTCATAATGGTGATATCTTAAAAACCATTCATCTACTCTTAATTTGTTAAAAATATATTTTGTTAAAAGTATAGCGGGTCAGAAAAAATGGGATGAAATACTTATAAAACTTATTTTATAAGTATTTCATTCCATTTATACTTTAAAATTTGAAATTTAATAATAACTTATTAAATTTTTGTGTTAAGTAACAATTTGTTATCTATCTAGAATATTATATTTTTTATCTAAATATGCTATAATATATGTATATGTGTGTGCGCGTGCGTGTGTTTTTATATATTTATATTTGCTCACAAAAAATTTTGATTTAACTTTAAGCATATTATATTTGTTTTCTGTATATGCTAAAGTATATAGGGCTATAGGGGAGAGTTGCCTAAATTGCAACAGCACTTTATACTGTTTTTTGTGTTTAATGTGACGGGATTTAGAATGCAAAATAACAATATAAACTTATCTTATAAGTTACTGCAAGCATGATATTGCAGTGATATAACAAAATAGTCCAAAGTTTTTTTGATTGGAACTATAAAGTTTTCCTTACTTAATCAGTAATAAAATCAAAGAGTTGTAGAAATAATTCAGGCTCAATTTAAAAATACTTATTAGCATAAACTTTATATACCATAAATTTTACCATAAATTATGGTTAAAAGTATAGTAAGGTTGTATATATATATATATATATATATATATATATATATATATATATATATATATATATATATATATATATATATATATATATATATATATATATATACACACACATATGTATATATATATATATATATATATATATATATATATGTATATATATATATATATATATATATATATATATATATATATATATATATATATATATATATATATATATATATATATATATATATATATATATATATATATATATACATACATATGTGTGTGTGTTTATATATATTTATATTTTTTCACAAAAATTTTATTTTAAAGAAATGTTTGATTTAACATTAAGCATACTTTAATATCATGAGTTTGATATGCCATCAATGAGAAAATTTGACCTCAAAAATCTGCGATGGAACGAACTTAATAATAAGTCATATGTAAATTTGCTTAAAACAATGGTAAATTGAGAATTTTTTTCTTATTGGTTATAACTCAGGTAAGTTAAAGTTTTTTCAAATCTCAACTTTCTTTTTGTCTTATTTTTCCTAATGTTTATGTCAATTAACTTCTTTTTTTTATTTTTCATTTTAATATTTGATATCTATTCACATTAACATGTTTTTGTCATTATCAACCCATGTTTTCATAGTTAATTGTGTGTTTTTTTATTGTTTTGTTTTGTTTTTCCTTAGTTTAAAATAATTAGTTTTTCAACAATTTCTTATGTTATCAAATTTCCGCAGATATCACATAATACAAATTTTTAGTTAATGTTTTTATATATTTTTGATATTTTACAAACTTACGATAGAATTTATACTTATATTTTATACTTTAATATATACAAATATACAAATTTTGATTTTATTTACAATTAGATTTGTCTTAAATTGTTTTTTTATTTAATTTTCTTTGTTTGTCCTTTTTTTTTTGCTATGAAAAAAATAGTTAAATAATTATTGTTTTTATTTCTTATTATTTATATGTTTTATTATATGTTTATTGTATGAAGATTTGTTTTTATTATAGGGTAAACTACCCAGTGGTCAACAGCCCCTCCAGTTGTTTGCCCTCCAAAAGTTCTGTAAATAGCCTTAACTTTTAGGAGTAATTTTTATAACTGTTTTCAGATAACCACGAGAAACACATAACAAATATAATATAGTTGAAAGTGTTAAAGACTGAAAAAAAATTGTATGTTTTCCAGTGTATGACAAAAAAAAAGTATTAAATTTACCATCCTAACTTTATTGTATAAAGGGTTCTGAGCCAAAATCCAGTATTTTATGTGATTTGTGCAAGCTATGTTTAGAGCTTCTATAAATAAACTTCTATAAGTTATTATATTTAAAACACTTCTATAAGTTATTATATTTAAAACACTTCTATAAGTTATTGAATTTTATTCCAGTCCTTGACACCACATTCTATTTATTGAATGAAAAAAATGTTTCAACTTGCAAAGATTTTTAGAGAGTTATTTTAAAAAAATATTACTTTCTTGATTGTTATGATTGCTACACAAAATTGTTTTTCTTTGGAGAAGTAACAATGTTTTGTTAAGTTTTATCTGCAAAATCATTCAAGGTTGCAATACTTTAATTCTCTTGGTGACCTTACTTCGGAGTTCTCAAATGAATATCTAATTGTTTATATTATTATTAAGTGTGATTATATTCTTCTAGATTAAAAAAAACTAATCAAATTAATAGTAAAATAAAGTCAAGATGTCTCCTAAAATAAGCAGCTGCTCAGGAATGGCATTGAAATTCTAATATACTGAGGAGGATATTGGTAATGCAATTGAAGACATTAAGAGGTAAATTTGAAATGTTTAATATCCTATTTGTAAATTAATTCTATAATCAGAAGCTCAATGCTAGAACTCAAATCTTATCTGATAAATGTTGCACTAATCTTATATAATCATTGGGATCAGGTGTAATTATCTGATAAATGTTGCACTAATCTTATATAATCACTGGGATCAGGTGTAATTATCTGATAAATGTTGCACTAATCTTATATAATCACTGGAATCAGGTGTAATTATCTGATAAATGTTGCACTAATCTTATATAATCACTGGGATCAGGTGTAATAATAAAGTTTTTTTTATTCATTTTTTATTCCATAGACATTTTATTCACTTTCAAAATACCATTCAAGATTTTTTTTTTTTTTTTAAATCTAAAAATTTTTTTTAAAAAATTGCAATACAAACATTCAATCCATTTAAATTTGTACATGTCTTTTACAGATGTTCATTTGGATGCGATGACTTGGACATTGAATGTTCTCGTTTAGAATCATTGCATTTTTCTACTAGGATAAAATGGTTTATTTATTTACAAAGAAGTAATGCAGTTAATCAATGAATAAAGAAAAAATGCATGCAATCAATGAGCTATGTAAAGGGAAGAAGCCAGATAAATGAAAAAGGCTATGTAGAATATAATATTTATATTTCCTTTAAGTTCTATTGAAATAACAAAGCCTATATTAAGTTGCATGTATTCTGTAAATATTTGCCCTGGCACTCCAGTTTTAATTGTTTTCTTGCATTTTCAATTTCTTTTTTCTTTAAATGTGATTGAGGAAACTTTCTTATCTCCTCTGGCCTTAACTCCAACAACCAGCTATAAGCAAACCCTTACTGCATCATAGATAGTTTTTATTACCAAAACATACTGTTTCTAAATTTAGAACAGTTGCTTAGGAACTCCATACAATATCTGTCTTGACAACACTTCAAGTAACTTCCATCTTAAGGGATATCCAACAAAAAAAGGAAGAAACAATTGCCGCCAAAAAAATTTGCAAACAAATACGATTGGCAGTGATGCTAAGAAAACTTATAAAAGTAAAGCAGAATAATTTTGTATTCTAGTTTAGTTTAAATTGTAAGTTTTTATCTTACACTTGAGAATATAAAGAACAGACTTTTAAATGTTTTCTTCAAACTATATTTTGTATAGTTTACATTGTAAACTATAAAAAACATTTTTTGTTTTGGTACATATCATTTAAGCACTTGTTAAGTACCTAATTTTTAAAAAATTAATAAGCATCAAAAACTGGAGAAAAAAAACGTCAATCTTAAGATGATATCCATTGTTTGACATTTTGACAGTTCAGGGGCTATAACTCATTTATTTATTTTTAAATGTCATTCAATCTAATTGTATTGTAAAGGCTATTGACTGATACACTAAGTGTGTTTTATCTATTGAAGTGTATTATATCTAGCGACTAGCACTAAGTGTATTGTAAAGGCTACTGACTATCCTTTTATACAATAAAACTTTGAGATTAATAGTTTATGAAATAACATGTGAGAAACTATTATTTATATAAAGGTAAAAAAAAGAAGAAGACATTGACCACTGGATGGTTTACCCTATATAATTTTTGTATTTTTATATATTTTGATATATATTATTTTTATATATGCTTTGTTAAAATATTGATTGTTTAAAAACTTGAACAACTTTATAATTTAGTGATAAGATTAATTATTTTTAACTGAAGGTCTACAAATTAAAAATAAAACTGAAAAAATTCTGATAAAAATGGCTCCAATTAAAATGTAAGTTGTTCTTTCCAATTTTAATTAGTTTTTAATTATTTTATAATTAGTTTTTAAATTAATTTTTCTTTATGTTTTTGTTTAAAAATTAAATTAGATCATTAGAAAAAATAATTCCAAACCTTTTTGTTGGAACTATTTCCGAATCTCTTAGTTAAAAAATCACATTGGCTTGTTGAATATTTAAAAAAAAATCTCTTTGCTGGTGGTTGAATACCATTTAAAATTCATTTCACACCATTTTTAGAGTTTTTAAATTTGTTCATTATTAAAAGGGTTAAACTTCTCACAAATCAACCAATCTCATTACAAATTGACCAAGTGTAAAGTTTTGAATTTTTTATTTCAAATACTTTTGCATAAAATATACTTGCAAAAAAACAGACAGACAGGTTCAATTAATTTTCAAATCAAGGGTTTAATATTTATCCTTAAGTATTAAATATATTTTTATTTAATTTATTATAGTACAAAGTAAATTTATACTATAATAATAAATGTAAAATTGTTTATATTTTATTTATTATGAAATATAACAATATAATAAGTTAACTTAAAAGTGTCTGTCCTCCGCTCTGCCCTTGCCCTTTTAAATATAAACTGTACAAGTTACTTTTCAGTTTTTTTCAGTGTATATTAAAAAAAAATTTGTGATTTTCTTGAAGAAAAAATTTTAAAATCTAAGACTATCAGATTTGTGTATGGAAATGTTGATGATTACTTTTCTAAGTTTTTCAGATTAGTGTGTGGAAGTGTTGATGGTCACTTTTCTAAGTTTTTCAAACGCATAGCAAGCATAAACAAAAAAAATGGTCCATTTGAGGTTGGTTAGTTTTTTTAATAGTAATTTTACATTAAATATTTTATTTTATATTTAAATGTTATATTACATATATAATATAACAGTCAAGCACCCAAATAATATTTTTTTATTTTTCTATTGCTTTTTTATTAAAAATAAGAAAAAAAAATTGGGTTTCAAATGCATTAGGGGTCGTCCATAAATTAAGTCACGCTTGGGGGGGGGGGCGATAGGGGATTTTGTGACGCTTTGTTACAAGGGAGATGGGGGTCTCAATTTTGTGACGCAACATTTTTTTTTTTTTTTAGAGAAGACATTCTTTTAATTAAAAAAGTATCTGACCAAACCAAAATCCTCAGTTGATGTATCTACATGTTGATTGTAAAATTAACTACGCCTAAATCTTACTTAGTCGATGTGTACACTCCGTTACAGCCTGTTAATGGACTGTAACGGCTGTTTGTGCAGTGCACGTTCTACACTTTGAGTTTATATGGTTCAAGTGCAGAACTTAATTTAGTTAGTGTACAAAAGTGTGCATCAACAAAAAAACAATCTTTGTCCAATAACTTTAAAAAAAAACTTTTTGATATCGAGAAACAAACCTGGAACCCTCGGTTTACTAGCCGGAGGCAGAATCCACTCGACCACACTTATGTTTCTAGTTTGAAGAAAATTGTATTTATAAATTAATATTTTTGCATGTATAATATATTAATATTTATTATATATTATATCTATATATATATATATATATATATATATATATATATATATATATATATATATATATATATATATATATATATATATATAATATTTTGCATGTATTATATTTTGGAAAAATAGATTTTTAAAATTGGTATCATGTTTAGAAGAGCGATGTTAATTTATACAATTTTACACGGAACTATTGGGGTGAAAATAAAACATTAAACAGACTGAAAAGTACTAATTAACTCAAAGAAGCTCAGAGAATTGAAGGCGTTATTATATTTAAAATCGCTTTGTATTTTGTAAAATTTTGCACTCCCTCCCATCCTCTTTAAAAAAAACTTTAAATTTTTTTTTTTTTTTTTTTAGGGAGGGTACAAAATTGTTGCATAATATTGGGGGGGGGGGTTAATAAATTCTTACGGATGCATTACAAGGGGGAAGGGGGTCAAAAAATATCAAAAAACCCCTTAGTAAATAACTAATTTTCGGTATATTTTAGCTGCTTAATTTTTTTTTTTTTCAGGACAATAAAATGAATTAACCTTTAATGTTTAAAATTCATTCGGTTACAAACCAAACATTAGATTTAAAAAAATGAAAGTTGTTACAAAACTCAATTTAAAAACCTGTTACAAAATTTAAAGACAATGTGTTCAAATAAATCCCTTTCATTACATTTTAAATTTTTTTTTTTTTTTTTTTAGGGAGGGTACAAAATTGTTGCATAACATTGGGGGGGGGGGGGTTAATAAATTCTTACGGATGCATTACAAGGGGGAAGGGGGTCAAAAAATATCAAAAAACCCCTTAGTAAATAACTAATTTTCGGTATATTTTAGCTGCTTAATTTTTTTTTTTTTCAGGACAATAAAATGAATTAACCTTTAATGTTTAAAATTCATTCGGTTACAAACCAAACATTAGATTTAAAAAAATGAAAGTTGTTACAAAACTCAATTTAAAAACCTGTTACAAAATTTAAAGACAATGTGTTCAAATAAATCCCTTTCATTACAAAACGCTATTTTTAATCAAAATCAATTCTTATCTTTAGATAAACTAAACAAGGTAAGTAAAAACAAAGTAATGACTAGAAATTTTAATTAGGGAAAGAAAAGAGGGGCTATCAAGAACCCTTTCCTCTTCATTGTTAAAAAAAATTGGTATCCCCAAATAAACTCTAGGTTTATCACTGACAATATATTTTAATTTAATATGTTCTATATTATAAGTTAATATATTAAAGTATAAATAATATATAAGTTATTTAATGTGTTCAATATCAAATAATTTAATAGTTGCAGTTTATACCACTTTTTTTTTCTTTTTCTTTTTTTTCATTATCTTTATTTTGATCATATAAAAATATATATATAGATTATTTTTTCTCCAGTAGAAACCATGTTTTACTTTTAACTTTTGAAAATGTTGAAAAGATTTAACAAATTTTAATGCATGATTTCTGATTACCAGAATTTATTCTTTACTTTAACTTTAATTGCAATTTGTTTCTTGAGTTTCTTACTTGCAATTAAATATTACAATTCATTTTTACTTAAGTTTTTTTCTTGCGACGATATATTTTCACTTGATAATAACCTAATTCTTTAAATTTGTAATGTGAGTACTTTAAATTTGTAATGTAAGTACTTTAAATTGTGAGTACTTTATTCTTAAATTATGTTAATTGTTCTTAAATTATGTTAGTTATTCTTAAATTATGTTAATTATTCTTAAATTATGTTAATTATTCTTAAATTATGTTAATTATTCTTAAATTATGTTAATTATTTATAAATTGTTATAGTTTTATTGTAAGACAGTGAATCAAATATAATTTCTATGTTTTAATATTATTTATTATTTGTCATTGTTTAAATAATTAATGTTCAGAGCATGTTGTATACATCCACCTATTTTTTTTTTTAAACAGTTTTTCGTAAGAAATTTTTCTTATTTTTTTTGTTTTAAAAATTTTCAGAAATGTAACAGAAATGAATAAAAACATATTTTTCCAACTCATGTAATCAATAATTTTAAATTTTTAGAAAATTTGATAATTTAAATATCTTTTTTCTTTTTAAAAAATAGAAATATAAGTGACTAAAGTTTAAAAAATAACTGAATTAAACAAAGAATTTACATTCAATGAAATTAAAATATATAGCACTAAAATGATGTAGGATCGAAGAATATTTTGAAAATTATTCAAAATAGTAAAAATGCTGACCTGTTGTACAATTGTTGTTACTAGTGGTACAGCTACAAGTTGTTGTTACTAGCAGTTGACCAAAATAAATGGAAATTTTGAGTATACTATTTTAATGCAAAAACCAGAACTAATATTTTGCCAAATATTTTACTGAAACCAAAATTTCAGCAAAAGTGAGGTTAGTTTTGGTTATAATAAGATGGTTAGTTTTGGTTATAATAAGATGGTTAGTTTTGAGAAGCTGAAAAGCCACTGATATTCTGGTACTTAGGATTATCAGATCTGTAAGACTTTTCTGTTGCAAATATTACAATTTTTGCACTTAGAAAGTCTCTAAGAAAGCTTGTAAAATTTAGTAATTAAATGATTAGTGAAAAATGGGCTTTTAAATCAATGTTTCATTTTTAACAATGTTTCATTTTTTCATTTTAAACAAAGTTTCATTTAGAAATGGTAAAACATTTTGTGGAAATTGCTAAAAGTAAAATTATTTTTCCAAGTTAAATACAAACTTAAAATCATATATTTGAAATTTTGCTTTTCTGTATGTTTTTAAAACAAAATTTTATTTCTTACTGAATTAATAAAAAGTATCGAAACCAAAGTTTTGGCATTGGTTCAAATTAAAATTTTGGCCAAAACTGAAACAGAGTTTCAGTCGATTACTAGTTGTTGCACACCATTTAGAAACAGATTTTTTAACTTGTTGTACTGATCACAAGTGATGACAAAGTCAAAACAGAAAAACATTTTTGGAAATGTAAACCTAGTTCATTTTTGTAATGATTTTTACAGTTATGATTATTGAAATTGTTTAAATATTTTTATCATAATTATTAATGTTTAATTATCATAATTATCATAATTATTAATGGTTAATGAATTAAACATTGCTAGAAAGAAGTTTAATCTAATTTTATTTTGATTAATTTTAAAAAACTGTTTTTCATGTTTCAAGTATTTTTACAACTTACAAACCTTTTGAGGAGAGTCAGCAAATTCCTTATCATTTTTGCCCTGTATTTTCTCTGACAACAGTTTAGATTTTAACTTTGTTTTAATTTATTATAGCTTTGATTTCTTAATGCAGCAGGTTTGCTGCAAACAAAATTATATTTAATTTACAGCCATCATTTTAACATTCTCTTAGATGGTTTTATGTGTTGGTAATTTCTTCTCTGCAAATCCGCAATGTGTAGAAAATTGGAAACAGTTCTTATTAAGCAAAACAAAAGGTAATAAAAAAATGTTTTTCTAAATTATCAATTAATGTAGATTACACAAATATAATAATAGGTATTTTTTTCATACTCATAACATTTTAGTTTTATTTTAACTGTAAGCTTTATTATATACAGTTAATTCTCGATAATTCAAAGCTCCAAGAGACCAAGTAAAGGAGGTTCAACTAAAACAAATTTTTGTTAAGTCAAACTTTGGTTGACACAAGATAATAGTTTGAGTTAAGGCGATTTTTCTTCATTCAATACTAAAGATAGATAGATATATAGATATATAGATATATATATATATATATATATATATATATATATATATATATAGATATATATATATATATATATATATATATATATATATATATATATATATATATATATATATATATATATATATATATATATATATATGTATATATATATATATATATATATATATATATATATATATATATATATATATATATATATATATATATATATATATATATATATATATATATATATATATATATATATATATATATAGATGCAATACAGTTTTGTGTTGAAATGTCTTATCAAAATGCAAATATATTAATACTGAATCAATGTACTGATTCAGTATTAATATATTTGATACTAATACTAATTTTTAAATTATTTTAAATGTTTAACTAAATTAGTATTATCAATTATCTATAAAATTAATTAAAATAAAGCATAAAAACAATAAATGCTACTTTTATTATGTCCAACCTTTTTTTTTTTTTATAATTATATTGTTATTGTAAATACAAGCCAAAATGGAAAAAAAAAACTGTACTAGTTGGTATATCATCTTACATCTTTATATTTCATTATTCAGTATTACATTTACACTAATAGTAACGTTTTAACAAAAACATGTATCAGTTTATTAATTATATTATACTTTTTTTTTTAATTTTTTTTTTTATTTGAATTTGAATTTTTGATGCTGTATTTTTCTATACAATGTTAAATGCGAAGATATTGTTGGCTTAGCATAGGAACAGCCACAAAAATTCGTTAAGACTAATCCTAAGTAGCATCCATTTGTTGACCAACATTTTTTGCATACAGAAGTACTACTTAAGCGCTGAGTTGGCGGTAGCGGGATTTGAACCCATATCATACAACAGTCCGGGTTTTAACTTTTGGTTTGGCGCTTTAAACAACTGAATTATCCAGCCACATACACACACACTAAAATAATAAAATAAGCACACTGCTATTATTTTATTATTTTAGTGTGTATAATATATATATATATATATATATATATATATATATATATATATATATATATATATATATATATATATATATATATATATATATATATATATATATATATTGCGTTAATGTACTTTCACAACTATTTAATTGTTCTAACATTTTTTTATTTTTTTTATTCACCTCCCCAAGGCCGAGAAGGCCACTACAGATGAGAAGGCTACTTGTGGTTATAACCCTCTCTCAACTCTATAACTCCAAAACACGAACCTTGGCGAACAAGGCCGCTGCGCAGAGAAACAAGTTGAACGCGGTACTACCAGGGATGTAATGAGAATCGAACTCCAAAAATTGTCGCTTATATGTTGTAGTGCGGTAGTGGTGTAATGGTAGAGCGAGGGCTCTACCATTACACCACTACCACACTACAACATATAAGCGACAATTAAAAGTTGATCATTATCATCTCTTTTGTTTACCATGTAATGAACTATAACATATATATATATATATATATATATAATATATATATATATATATATATATATACAAATAGTATTGCGTACTTTGGTAAGCAATCTGACATCATACTGAAATAGCCGGCTGCTGGGGGCTCTAGTACATACAACGACTGACAAATAGCCTGACTCGCAGTGAAGTGCTGCTACATCGACTGAGGGTTTGGGATGGGGAAGCAATCGTTTTATTTATCATTCTTCATTTTTTTCTTCTTCTTTTTCGAAAAAAATGGTTTACCTTGAAGTAAGCACAAAAAGTGTGCAAATGCTTATCAAAACACGCTTTAGTAAGTGTATATATATATATATATATATATATATATATATATATATATATATATATATATATATATATACACATATATATATACACATATATATATAATCCAAGTTATATATTTATTTTTACAGTTGAAATTCCTGTATATATCCTTGGGCCAACATTAAAACAACATGAAGTTTTTTATTCCAAAGAAAAGTTAAAAGATGGAGAGGAGCTTTTCGAAAATATATTATACCTTGGTACTTTTTTTTATTAATTGTTTTTTTAACACAATGAAGCTAACCCTACAAGTATATTGAGTGTGCGCCATATATAATTTATGGCATTGTGTAGATGTGGGTCATGTATTGAGATTTTATAATATTATACTTATACAATAATTAAATCGATAAAGTTCTTATAAAAAATTATTTTATTAATAAAGTTTATTAATAAATTTATTATAAAGATAATTTTAAAGTTATTTTTTAGGATTATTGCAAAAAATTTTGTTAAGTTAAACAATATAACTATTTTTAATGTTTACCAAATTAATTAATAAATCTATTCTTTTTAATAAGCAATCTCCGAAAGGTGAATAACTTTAAAAATATATTTTTTGTTTCTAATTATATTTTAAATTATTTTGTTTCTAATTATATCCTATTTTTAGATTTTTAGGCTCAACATTTTAAGTAAATGTTACAAGCTTTTATAATTTTAGTGTTGGCTTGTTACAAGTTTTATAATTTTAGTGGTTTTATAATTTTAGTTGGCTTACTAAAGTTTCTTTTTAATTTTTATTTCTAGGTAAAAAAGGGGTATTTACAACAGCTTCTGGCTTGACATTAGCTTATCTGAGTGGTATTGAACAAAGCAATGTAAGTTTTCTATTTTTTTAAATAAAACTTTTTTTTCACAGCGAGACTAAGAAAGACTAAGAAAAAAAAAAACATTCCAGTCAATAAGGCTACATTTTTGTGGTTTTTAAAAAACAATAAAAATTAATTAGTTTACTCAATTACATTAAATGGTTTTTCTATAAAGTTTAAAACTTGATTTTTAAAAATAAAGTGTTGTTAAGAGACACTTTTTACCATAAACTTCAAAGCCTTTACTATAGAAATATATATAATAGAAGTTTAAAATAAAAAATTATTTTAAGATTTTTAAATAAGCAATAAAATAATTTTAAACTTATATTTATGTTAAATAATGTTATGACTTTGACTGTAAATGTTTCTAAAAAATATTTTTCGTTCTAAATACCAAATAATAATTTGTATAAGGCATTACAAGATCAATTAGTACACAACATTTAAAGTGTCAAACAAAAATTCTACTGCAACCAAAAAAGCAAGAGATTCATTGAAAAAAAAATTTGATTTTCTTTGAGAAAAATAAAAGATTACATAAAAATGAATTTCAAAAATCATTAGAAACAATATGTAAAATGCCAACAAATTGGCAAATAATAAACAAATATACCATCTTGGTTTCAGACTGTAAAAATGTGAAATGACAAATAAAGAAAATTTCAGATAAATGTTTAGAACTATGAACTTATTTCAATTTTTGCTGGGGTAGAACATCGATTAGTTGTGATAAAGAACAATAAAAAGAAGGTTAGGCTAAAGCTTAACCTTCCTTTTATTTTTTTAGACAATTTTTGAGAGGACTTTAAGAATGTTTGAATGAATATTATTTATATATGGGGATCTATAACAATGATTGTGACAGACACTATAAATGTTAATACTGGGAAAACAAGTGGTGTGATAAAGAAATAAATGAAACATTTTGAAAGTGTTGGCTTTGTGAAACCTCTCTATACTGGTTGTTGGCACGATATATTAAATCGAATACTAAAGTTATGTCTGGATGATTTTTTTTAATAACAGATTTTAGAGGTACTACCTCTAAAATCTGTCTTATTATTTTGTTGAATTAATAAGTAGTAAATGGGACTATTAATACATTCATGAAGTTTTGAAAACTGAGTTCAGGTAGTTGTATTCAATAGGATAATCTGAGCCTATTTTTATCTATTTCTGACTTTTATTTCTGAGAACTAACAAAAAATATATATACCAAAACAATTTTTTTTTTATGGAAACTTTATTAAAACCATGATTAGACATCATTTTTAGTAAACTACATCAAAAAAAAGTTTATACATAATTTTTATAGATGTTTAAGGAGCACTAATTTGAGTTGTATTCTATAGACCCACATTATCCCGTTTAGTAGGGTAATTACCCCGTTTAGTGGGGTCTAAGATAGATTTTTATCTTTTTTAAATGAAATATACCAACTTATAGTTAAATATCACTGAAGTCATTGAGCATATATTATATTTGAATTATTTAATCAAAAGTTTAAACAAATTAGTACTTTAATAGATGTATAAATTATGCGCTAAATTAGAAACGCAAAATGAATATTTTTTTTTGTTAGCCAAATTCCAGGGAATGCAGAGCATTCTTATGGTTTAATTTACATAGTTTTTTTTTTTAATATATGGAATAAATCATATTATAATTCTTCAAATTGAATATATGATATTCAAATTTAAAAGTCGAAATACTTATAAAAGTCAAAGCAAGATGAAATTATATTTAAAGAAGAATTTAAAGCGAAAGCTTAATTGAAAGTTATCCAAAAATTTTTGTATTACATATTAGAGAGTTATTCTATTAATTCTGGTAATTTTTCTTCCAGATTTTTCTATCTGTTAGATCTCGTTTTTAATACCCTTTTTCTGAAGTTTAAGGTTTTTGATAAAAACCTCTCTTTAAAAGTATGTACCATTTTGAATAAAAAATATACTCAAAAATTTGCCTAATAAGCAGATAACTAAAATTTAAAGAGCCGTTTTAACCACCTATAACATACAGAAAAAAACATCTACATAAAACCTTTCTTCTGAAAAACTGATAATTGTTGATTAGAATCACATTCCCTCTTAGATCTACATTACCCCACACTACCCTAGTTCATTAGAATATTTGAGATTGTAAAAATATTATATATTTGCTATTTGAGTTTGTATAAATATTATACCCCTAATATAAATATATGTGTGAGAGTGTGTGTGTGTGTATATATATATTTATATAGATAATATTACACATACAAGGTTTTTGAGTCTTTAATTAACAAACACCTCTCATCTTGAATCTAATAATAGTAATCTTACTTTCTGATCATCGGATTTTGATCTTCTCGTTTTACTGCTTAACAAAAATAACTTATAGATTTTATTGTGCATTAGATAGATGTGGAGAGGCTATCGACATTTCTAAAGCTTTTGATAAAGTTTAGTATGCTGGTCTTCTCCATAAGCTTTCTTTTTACGGTGTATCAGGTAACATCTTTAAGATTATTGAATCATTCCTTATGAATCTAATTTTTATTATGCAATAATCTAGATCTTCCTATATTTATGAACGGTAATGTATTTGATGAGTCATCCACTCTTCATCTTCTAGGCTTAACTATTACTTCCAATCTTACTTTGAAACCATATATCAAATTGATTGCAAAAATAGCATCTGCTAAGTTTGCATTTCTTTATTGTGCTTGCAACTTACTCAAAACTCTATTCTTTATCTTTTTTTTTTAATTTTTTCTTTTTAGGACATAAATACTACATAGCCCACTATAGCTACTATATGACCTGCTACATAGCTTTTAAACAGTCTAAAACATAGGTACTACTTAGTCCATGGGCTAACCGCTCACTACATAACTATTATAAAACATACTACTACATAACCTGCTATGTAGCATAGGTACATGTAGTCCTCTACATGCCTTTATATAAAATACTATATATAATGTTTTAAATAAGTTTTAGTAAAATATATTGTGTTAATTTTAGTGATATAAAACCAAAAGTTGGAAAATAAAAAAAACAAAATAATTTTTTTTATTAGATATATTACCTGATTTTTGTGATATCAAATCAAAAGTTGTACACGTTCAAAACAATTTCATTTGATATCAGTTAATATCAAATGGAAAATTTAACATCAAATAGGAGAATAACTAACAATCATAACTTAGCACATTAAACAGTAGCTAAGCACATTAAACAGTAACTAAGTACATTAAACAGTAACTAAGGGCATTAAATTGTACTTTTATAAAGAGAATAAGTAGTTTTTAATATACCTTTAATTAAAACGCTTAAAAAAAAAGTATTCAAAAAAATCACATATTTAGGGCTAATTTGAACAGATAATGGTATGATTTAGAAAAATATTATGAAAGTATAAAATACTGTGTTTCATAATAAAAAAATACGCTTTTACATTACACAATTATACAAGTTAGTGGTATAATAAAATATTGTTAATATTTGTGTCCAAAAGATAAATTTAAACAAATTATGCTTCAGTCATCAGTAGCATGTGAATTATTTCTGTGAGCATGCCTTATGAGCTTAAAAGGAACATACATAGCACATGATTTAGTTTTTTTCCTGATTCCCCATTCAGTTCTCAGCAGTATAGGTATGCTGTATTTAACTCTCTATTCTTAGCTAATGCAAGCTTTTTATTTATTTATTTTTTTTGTCATGTGTTTTCTTTTGAAACCTTTGCTCTTTGCCATTTTTTGGTATAACTTTTGTAACTATTTTTTCCTGGCAAATTATTTTTGATCTTTAGATCTATCTTTTTAGATCTTTTGCTACTTTGGTTCTAGTAATCTTGCCTTTCTCATCATACACTCTCATTTGTTTCACGAATAACAAAAAAACTTTAATTCATTTAGTTAATTAATTTTATTTGATTCATCAAGATGGATGTATGCTTATTTTTTCAAGCAAAAGTTTGCTTGTTAAAATAAGCATATGCAAATTCGAATTGCCAGAAGCGCTCATTGCACAACACACTGTCACTAATTATCCTGCTTTATAATAGGAGAAATATAAGTGGTGTCCTAAAACTCCAGTTACCAAAACATTCTAAAAGACCTCTTTAACTTTAATCAGTGCATTTAAAAGCATTTTAATTAAAATAAACCTGTGCACGAAACTTTATATACAACCCCTTATATACTACTTTATGGACAACCCCTAAAGAGAATTGTATAAAAAAAGATTACTTTTAATTTTTGTACTATTAAATGCATTAAAAAAAAGTAAAATAGCTTGACAACATCTATGTAGTATTTAATGTGGGCTTTCTTTTTATATACATTATATATATATTTTTTATCATCCTCTTTAATATGAACACATGTCTCGAGATTTGGGATCCCTTTAAGTTCAATTTGTATTGAATTTGTATTATGCGGTAGTGGTGTAGTGGTAGAGCGCTTGCTTCATAAACGAGTGGTTCCGAGTTCGATCCCCACCATGTCCCTGGTAGTACTGCGCTCAACTCGTTTCTCCGCGCAGCGGCCTTGTTTGTCAAGGTTTGTGTTTCGGAGTTAAAGAGTTGAGAGAGGGTTATAACCACAAATAAGTAGCCTCCTCGTCTGTAGTGGCCTTCTCAGCCTTGAGGAGGTGAACTTAATAAAAAAAAATAAAAAAAAAATATGGGGATGGGAGTCTGTAAATAGCATATAAAAGGTAATGCAAAGGAGGGGGAGGGGGAAATCTAAAAATTTCAAATTTTTATTTTATTTTAAGTTATAACTTTTTTTTAATTCATAAAAGATAGGAGGGGGAGGGGAGATTTCAGTAGCACATATACTTTTTAGGAAGGGGGGTAAAGGACTTAAAAGTACTTCACTCATTTCCTGAAATTGAGTGAAATATCTGCATTTAAATTTTGGCTTTGAAGGCCAGTTTTCTTACCAACACTGTAAAAAGTTTCTTGAAAAGATTGTTAACAATCTCCTAAAGAAGATGAAGCTTTATTGCTAAGGGTTTAATTTAATAAAAAATTAAAAATATTAGTGATTTAAAAATTTATAATAAAAGGTTAGTTAGTTATTTAATCAATAGTGTACATTTTTTAGTCTTTTTTTTTTTTTTTATTTTATTTCTTTTTTATATCAAGTTGGGATGTTAAAAGTTAACATTTAAATTTACATTTGATATAAAGTTAGCTTGAGTTTGTATTAGGAATTTATTTAATCAAAAGTAAATTTTTTTTGAAAAGAGTTGCATGCTAGTTGATTATTGTTGCCATAGAAACTTATTATTTGTCATACTTATTAGCAGTGAATTAGTATTATAAAATATTTAATTTTTTTTTGCAATGAAGAATTCTTTACAAGCTGATGTTTCTTCTTTGAATGATCAACTTATTCGAGATGACAAATTTATTGGAGTTGATATTCTCATAACATCATCATGGCCTCAAGGTGTAAATAAATATACAAAATCAAGTGTGAGTTTTCTATTTTTGTCATATTTTCTATTTTTCTATTTTTTGTTTTTATTTTTTCTGGTATTTTTTTTATCTAGTTATCTTCAGGAAACGAATCACCTTCAATCTCATTTCTTGCTTCATCATTAAAGCCTAGGTATCACTTCAGTTCTCACATTGAAAAATTTTTTGAGAGGCAACCATACAGGTAAAACTAAGATCTAATTTTTTTTAATAAAATCTTCTTTTTTTTTTCCTACTGTTTATTTGTTTATTTTTATTATCTAGAAATCATAAAGTTTTAAGAGGTAGTCTGCAACATGTTTCAAGATTTATAGCTCTTGCCCCTTCATTTAATGATACCAATGAAAAGGTTTTAATACTATACTTTATCTGATTTACATTAATAGTAGTTTTTCCCAGTTATATTTCAATATTGTTTAATGCTATTTAGTCAATATACGCTTTTTCAATTGAGCCATTAAGTTGCATATCACGTGATGAGCTTATAAAGCAACCCCCTGATACCACAGAATTTCCTTATGATGATATCAAGTTGAGCACCATAGAAAATCAAGTAATAATAGAAAAGTTTTAATTTTCATTTTTAAAGAAAAAAAATCTTTCAAATAAAACCAATCTGTGTAATTTTTAAATAATAATATTACAAATAATAATGAAAAGTAATATAAATCATAGGATGTGTTTTTATGTAAGAAACTTGGTTTGGTATTTTTATAGAAAAAAGAACAGTTTTTTTTCAGAGAAGATAACAAAAGAAAGGGAGGTGAGAAATTGTTAAAGTTTTTTTTTGGTCTTTTTTTTCTTTTTATATAATATCAATTGTTTTAATTGCAACAAAATTTAAATTACAATAGATCAAAAGAGTCAGGAACAACATAAAGTACCAAAGGGGCCGCGTAAGTTCTATTTGGAATTGGTGTTGTTGTTATTATTAATCAATATAAACATATATATATATATATATATATATATATATATATATATATATATATATATATATATATATATATATATATATATATATATATATATATATATATACACAAGGGTGTACCCTCTGGTTTTTTCATGGTCGCCTTGTGGGCGACTGAAATACTTTTTAATTTTTTCTTGATTTGTCCATTATGACAATCAGTAGTCTGGTATAATAATTTATTTTTGCTATTTTTTCTTGGGTAAAAATATTGAAGAAAAAAATATAAATGTTAATAAAAAAATATTTTTTAATATTTTAATAGAATAAAAAAATATTGTTAAGTATTTTTAGTTACAATGAGATATCAATAAAGAAATAAATTTAAATACAACTTTTAAAGGTTGTCATGAAGTTTTAATTTTAACAGAAGTAGTCTTTTTTTGCTTTGGGGCTGGTTGCTTTTCTGTATCCATATAACCTGGTCTTTTTGTGCCTCATGCGATATACCCAATTTAATCCTAAATTTTGGCTTGAAAAACCAGTGTTCAATTGATCGTTGAGGGTCAAAAGTAACCTGACAAGCACGTAACTTGAGATAACTTTCAAATGAAAAATCTAATTTTTTTCATATTCTCGCTGGAATGTCAAAAAATTGATTACAATTCTAAAAACAAATAAATTTTTACTATATCTAAGGAGCCTAATCTTAAAAGATTTTTTTTTTTTAAGATTTTTAAATTTAAAATGTTGTCATTTAAAGTAAATTTTTTTAAATACTTTGTTGGGAATTCCTTGGCATTAAATACTGCTTGACAGTATCAAGACATTGAGTCCACCAGCTTCATAATCATATTATTGTCCATTTTTTTTCCATTCTTGTTTCAGAGTTTTAAATAATGTTTACTTGTTGATTTTCGACCTAAAAATTGTTGCTCAAGGTGTTTCCATAGATGTTCAATTGGATTAAGGTCAGGACTTTGCAAAGACCATTCCATTAATTGAATTTTTCTGATCTTGAAAAAGTCTTTCACAAGGGTTGAAGTGTGCTTTGGTTTATTGTCCTGCTGAAATACCCATCCTCCCATCATCATTTTATCTTTAGCATGTGGTAGCATAACATCCTTAATGATATCTTTGTATATATTTTATATCCATCATTCAAATGGATAGGACTGACACAATCTCTATTAAAGCAACCCCAGACCAAAACGTTTATACTTCCGTGCTTTACTGTTGGTAAATGGTATTTTGGATTGTTTTTATGGTCTTTTGGTTGGCAAATATATCTAATATCATCAGATCCAAATAACATATACTTAGATTCATCACTAAAAAGTACTTTTGACCATTGTTCTCTTGACCAATTCAAATGTTCATTAGCAAATCTCAAGCATACTTTTTGATTCTTTGAAATAAAGAATTGAAAAGTACGCTTAAGATTTCTTTGCGGGACATCTTCCAAATAGATTTGCAGACCTCAAATGACACTTGGTTATGTCAGCACTACGTTTTACATTATAAAATACTTTCATTTCAGCATTTAATAAGACAACATTTTCGCATAGATCATTTTTTGCAGCACAAATTAAAATTTTATCTTCTTTCAGATGTAATTCGAGGCCTTCCTAACTTTAGAGAGATTCTATTGTTATTTCTTTCCTTTTATCTTTTATATATATCCATTTTAGAAAAAAAAAAAATTTCTATGTGCATCATTAAATGCATTCTAATAATGTTGTTTCACAAGCATTCTAACAATGTTTTTTATTACCTTTGATGAAGTTAAAATAAAAATTTATTTTACCTGTGAAAAACAAAAGAGATTCAGTGTTATTAATGATTCAACTACCCATTCATGAGATTCAAAATGCAACTAAAAGATTTTAAAAAATGATATATTAGTATTTTGAATTGAAAGAAAATGTAATTTAAAAACTCATTTTAACAAAAGTTCATAAAATGTGCTTTAAAATGCAAAAATTAAAAAAAAAAACAGTACTTTGAAATAAAAAATTGTGTCTTCTTTTTATTTTATTACTTTTATTTTATTTTATTACTTTTAGTAAAATTATATAATGCATTGCAGTATATTTATTATAAAGCAAAGTGTATATTACTTTGAATGCTTTTTAAAAGTTTCTTTTAAATAATTTCAAGGAATAAAATCTACATTGTTCAAAATGTGCTTTTGTTAATAAAAACTCTTTTGTAATTAACTAACTATCTGGTCATTCTGCCGGTCTACTGACAAGTATTTTTTTTTAAATTTCAGTTACTATTTGTCAGTAATTTTTTTTTAAATTTACCGTGCCACTGGACGGCCGTTAGGGTACATACCTGATATATATATATATATATATATATATATATATATATATATATATATATATATATATATATATGTGTGTATGTATAGGTACTCTCATACGCATCCATTTTTTATTTTGACATTGCTTTTATAAAGTTTCTGGATTTCCGTGTTTCCGTATAACTACACTATATGCATGAAGGAAAAAGCTAGCAAAAAAATAAGCTGTCAATTTTTATTATTTTTTTTTTGTTTAAAGTGAAGGTTAAACTTGTTTATAGTTCTACAATTTTTAAAAAATTGCGAGTTTTTCACTGTTAACAAATCCTGCCAAAATAGGTAATTTTCATATAAAGAAATTTATATACCAATATAAATAAATGACAAATAAATTACTTATAGATCTTCCATTTGATATATAATAACCGATACTTCAAAATCTCCTTCATGTTTAAAAAAGTTGCATACAGTTGATACTGACAAATAATTTATTGTTGATAGCGACATTTTTTTTATTTTTTACCAAAATATTTTTATTTTTTATTACCCTTTGTGTAATAAAAAATAAAAATATTTTGGTAAAGATTTTATCAGCTTTGATGAGCTACAAAGAGACAGTTCTCAAAAGTCAGATGGCCAGGTATTTGACTGGCAATCTCTCAAATCCATGTAAAGAAATGATAAAAACCACATCATCTGCTCCACCTCATACGTTGAAGGCTGAAATCTTGTGCATGCTTGATTTTTTTTTTGCGTCGTGCTCTTAATGCTATTTTTGATTTTCTGGATTCTAAAATAAAAAAAAATATATTAATATGGCTTGATGAGAAAACATTGCTAGAACAAGAAGACCTTATTCAATTTGCAATTCACAAAAGAGCTTTAACGTGTCAATCCTGTAAAAATTTTATTAATCTTTTGTATAAAGAAATAGGAAAAAGATGCGTCAAAGCTAATATAAAAAAAGAACTTCTGGATGAAAGCAACTAGAGAAGGATGTTAAAAGAGCAATAGCTGAAAATGCCAAACCACAAATCCTCTTTTTGTTAATATTGATGAAAAACAAAAACAAATTTTAGGAGTAATTTTAAAAAATGGAAGCTTGATGGGGCAGCTCTTAAGCCATAAATAGGAGCTAGACGATGACAATATACATTTGTTTTTGGTAGAATTGTTGATCAAAAGGTAGCAACAAAAAAAATCTATTACATACACAATAGGATATTGGAAAGTCAATTTAGGATATTGACATAAGCCAGGAAGGAGTTATAGCAAATACTTAAAGACCTGGAGTTCATTTAAAAATTGCTATAATAAATTAAGCATTATTATCTTTTATTTTGTTTATGTTAAATATTTTGTATACATTTTTATTTATTCCTTTATTTTTTAAATTTTAATTTTTGGTATTAACCAAGAGCAGACACAGGATTATTTTACATTTCAGACACTGTACTTGGGATTGTGAAAACTCTAAGTATAAGTATGGTCAATCATACGTCAAATAAGTATGATTTGCTAATGAATTGTGGTAATTAAAACTTAGGAACAAAACTATCCAAAAAAATTAGAATCCCTGTCTCAAATGTGAATTTAATGAGTTGATAATAAGTTTAATAAGTTAAAGTATTTTAATTACTCAATCCCCTCACATTTATATGTTGGGGTATTTTTGTTCGCAGACTCAATTTTCAACTTCAAATTTTTTATATAATTTTTTTCCACATTTTTATTAGATTTAAGCATGAACAAACTTAAATTTAGATTAATTATGATAACTTTTTATTAAAATGACTTGAATTGAATTAGACCCGCTTTTAAAATAGGCTTAAACGACCCTCCCCTCCCCCCTTCCTTTTTTTTTAAATTAATTTATATAAGTGGGATATAATAAACAGTTTTTATAATATATGTGACAGTAAATTGTTAATATTTTATGCGCTATGTTTTAAAGTCCACTTTTTGAAGTCATTTTCTTGTGTATTTTTGTTAAAATATCATCTTTATTTGCTCCACCGTCAAAATTGAATATCTTTTTTTCTAGTTGACCTCAGATAATAAATTTGGTATCAAAATTTGTCATTTAACAGTCTCTATATAATAGAAGTAATTTAGTTTAAAAAATAAAAGTTTAAATTTTTTATGAAGGTACCTATATATATATATATATATATATATATATATATATATATATATATAATATATATATATATATATATACAAACACACACATTAAATAAATTATTAAAATCACTTATCAGTTTTTTTATTGTCTGTAAAGATTTTTCGGATTTATAAATTATAAATTTCAAAAAGATTTTTTTTAAATGTGTAATTTATTTGAAATTAAAAAATAGAGTGAAAAACATTATTAAAGAAATCAAATGAAAAACATGATTAAATAGAAAAACTTATACCGTAATAGTAATGGTATATAACTTTACCCGCGTGTTTGTGGTGGAGATTTTTCTATTTTCAATAAATCTCATTTCAATATCTTGAGTTTATGAAGTTGTTAAAAACAATACTAAATTTTCAAAGATTCTAAAAGATCACTGTAGTTTTACTTAAAGTAAAAATTTTACTTAAAGTTTACACTGTACTCTTATTTAAAGTACACTGTTTACACTATATTTTTACTTAAAATAAACAAAGTATAAAAAATATTTCAATAATGATAATTATAAGAATATTTATCCTACTGCCTCAATAATTTATCCTATCTAGGGTAGGCATAGAATGAATGAGTTTTCTCAAATATTCAGGAGTCATAAGTTGAGTCCATACCTGCTTAATTTTTTCTTGAAGATCATCGGAACATGATGGTCGCAGTTTCTGGACTTCGTTTTTGAGCTCCAGCAGTTTTCAATGGGATTGAGGTCCGGTGAATTACCAATCCAGGGGCCAATGACCTCAACCCCATTCTCACGTAACCAACTGCTTACATGCTTGGCCCTGTGACAGGGTGTTCCATCATGCTGAAACTTGTGGGTATTCGTGATGTTTATGAATAATATAAGTTTTTCTTGAAGTATATCAATACAAACATGGTTATTTGTTGTGGTGATAGGAGGCATAAACTATAAACTGCTACTTTGATTTGCTGTAATGGCACCCCATATCTTGATTTTAGGGCAATGTTTTACAGTCGAAAGCACATATTTGGGGTTGTATCATTGACAAGGTGGGCGTCTAACACTTGTAGAACGACCACCAAATTGTTCCATTAGTGATTTGTCGCTAAATATCACATTCTCCCAATCTTCCGCTGACCAGTCCTTGTATTTCTGACAGAAGGCTATACGATCTCTGATATTTTTTTAATAAAGACAAGGTTTTTTTGCTGGAACATGGCTCTTTAAATGAAATTGTTTGTACAAACGTCTTCTAATGGTCACAACACTTGGTGCAACACCTGTGTGGAATACCTCAGATGAAATTTCAGAAGCACTGGCAAACGGATATGCTTTTGCATAACAATGCATACGATTATCTGCCTTTTGAGTAGTTACCTTTGGTCGTCCAGTTCTAGCTTTGCTTTTAAAATCACCAGTTTCATGATATCTCTTTAATGTTTTTATAATACAGCTATGTGTTACATTAAAACATGCAAAATAGAAGTCAGTGTCAATCCTCACGTAGAATAACAATCTGAGCACGTTTTTCTGTTGTTAATTCATTAGTTCTTCCCATAATTATTATTTTAATTTTTTGCTAAAATAACAACAAACTATGACTAAAACAAATTTAAATGTTTATAAAATAAATTATGTATGCATATAATATTAATACTCAAAATTTTCAATTAAAAAAAACATATTTGAACACATTTTTCAAATTTTATGAAAATTTTTTAAATGTTCCAAACTTTTGATCGTGACTGTACTATTCATCATAATTTTAGCAAGGGTAGTTTTACTTTTTTTTTGTTTGTTATTCACCTCTCCAAGACTGTAGCATCAACTACAGTCAAGGAGGCTACTTTTTTTTTTTTTACCACTTCGTTTAAAAAAGGCTATTGTATCTATCTGAATCACCTATTTTAGATTTGCCACCTTACCAGTTATCTATTAATGGAAGAGTTTTAAACATTACTAATATTCTATCAGTTCCAGATCAATTTTAGTCAAAATACAAACTTTGCACAACAGTCAAATATTTTGATATTGCAATGCAACAATAATCTTACATGTTAGTGAGAAAATGAAAAATTGTCTCCTTAGAAAAATAGTAAATCTGCAGATTTGGAAATTATTTAATTTTAGAACCGAAAACTTTTAAAAGGTTTGTAAAACTTCTCAAAAATTAGCAGCTTATGGTACATCAATAAAAAGTTGGAAGATTGGAGAAGAAGATTAGAAGAAGAAAAAAAACTAAGCAGCGAACAAAATTTCAAGTAAAGACATTATTTTGCATGTTGGTCTGTATAAAATTATATTGAGATTTAATGAGTTAATATATAAGTTCATATATAACTATATGCCATATTTTTAGGGGATAATTGAAGGTCTAATTGACATAAGCGGAAGCTAGCATAGTATAACTAATCCATCAGAGTATATTTATGAAGTTTGAGCACAAAAAGAAGAATGATACTATTGATGAAGTTAATGATGTAATAATGAAGTTAATGATGTAATAATGAAGTTTGAACATAAAAAAGAAGAATACAATTACTTTTTTTTTATTATTAAAACAAAATATTTGTTTAAACCAAAATTTTTCAGAAAACTCATTTCCTAAAATAATTAAAATCTCTGATTTTTTGTTCTAAATGAAGTAAGATTAGTAAATGAAGTAAGATTAGCAATTGCTATTTTTATTAAGTTTGAAAAAAAAAGTGAAAAAAAAAAGAAAATTTAGTTTCAGTATTAGAAAAATTTAGTTCAATACTGGTTTTCAAAACTGGTATTGAAAAACTGATGAAAACTCTATAAGAAACTACATATAAGAATCTACAAAAATTTTGGTTAAACAAAAAAAACTTGTCATTTAGCATTATTTTTGGAAATAATTTGATTTGGCTTTATTTAAAAAATAAGTTACAATAGACTGCTTGAAAGTGTGAAAACTTTCTTTAAATATGAAAAATTAATTTTTTGTTTTTTTGGTCATAATTTTAGGGGGAAAAAATACTTAAAAAATGGTTGTATGAGAAATCAGATTTCTGATGAGTCTTAATTGATAAAACACAGTTTAAAAATGAAAAAAGTTTGTTAATTGATTTTCCACTAATTTTTATTGCTCTGTTCTTTTAAGAGCATTGAGCACTCTATTTTGTAGAACACACTTAAAATTATTTGTGTGTATATATATTTATATATATATATATGTATATATATATATATATATATATATATATATATATATATATATATATATATATATATATATTTATATATATATATATATATATATATATATATATATACATATATATATATATATATATATATATATATATATATATATATATATATATATATATATATGTATATATATATATACACATATATATAAATATACATGTATCATTGTATGTATGTATATATACCATACAAAAATTTCTTATGTTATTTAGCAACATTAACAAGTGATTGTTGGTTTTGTTTGGGCAGCAAAGATGTTGAAAAGCATTTAGTTGTTAGTGTTGGAGAATCAGTGAGTTTTTAAACTTTTTTTTTTTTTTTTTTTGGTAATATCTTTGAATAAAGTATTTAAATTTTTTAAGACTTACATGGCAGTTGCCAAAGGCGCAATTAATGATGACCATCTCCTAATATTACCCATATCTCATCATAATTCAACTGTTGTGCTTCCTGGCGTATGTTTAAACATTTATTTTTCTTTCTTAAAATTTGTAACTTTTCTTTATGACATTTTACATTTGATTTTTGTTGAACTTGTATTTTAAGGATGTTCGATTGGAGTTAGAAAAGTATCCTTTCTGTGTTTAGTGTGTGTGTTTTTTTTTGTTACAATTTTTTTTTTTTTTTTAATGCATAGTCTAATAACAAAACATAAAATTTTAAAATGGAGACTTTAACAATTTAAACAAGATACAAAGAAGGATTGCGTAAAATGTTTAATGCTGAACAAAAGTCTCTGATATCCTTTGAGCGGAACTTTTACACACAACATCTACAGTTGCAGGTAACATTAAATTACTTTTTGTTGGAGCAATTATAAAACTATAGTGTGAAAACACCTAATTAATCATTAATAATTTAAAATATGAAACATAAAACAATGTAATTCTTTAAATTTAATATCCTATAAATATATAATTATAAATACCTATAAAAAAAAATTCTTATTATTTGGGACACATCAGGTATCATAAAAAATATATACTATACTTAAAAGACTGGGAGTAATATATAACTGCTTCTATTAGATGAGTTATATATTTGTGATTATAAAATTTGTCAAAAAACCTTTATAGGTTTTTTGACAATAAAAATTGACATAAATAGTTAGTTACTAACTTTTTTGTATAATATTCGCTGTTGTTGGAACGCATTGCAAAAAATTATTTGCAAATTTAAAAAAATGAATTTTACAAGCAAGTTGCTGAGAAAATCCCTAAAATTGCTGGGAAAATCTCAATTCTCAAGAAGTTTTTTCCAATATAGATATTTTCGCATTTATGTAATCTCGTAGTTGTACCAATAAAGGCATTTTTTTTTCAAGAAATTGGCTTGTTTCATGTTTTGATGTTTTGTTGTTTGCATGATTTAAGAGGAATAAATGACCCACAAACGAAACGAAATTATGGTGGAGGAAGTTTAATCGTTTGGGGTGGATTTTCTTATTCGGGAAAATTGACTCTGTTGTGGTTTACCTAAAATGAACTCTATAAAGTATACATTTATTTTCTAAAATAAGATTTGATCATGTTTTCCACAAAAATCAAGATACGCATATAGATAAGATTTAAACAAAAGCTCACCAGGATTAGGGATTGTCTATAAATTAGGCAACGCTAAATTTATTTTAAAAAAAAGAAGTATTAGATCTTAAGCTCTTTTTTGGGGCAATTTCCATTAAACTTAATGAGCTATTTTAATATTATTTAACTTAAAGCTCTTGATGAGGAAAAAAGAAAGAAAAAAAACCAGAATGTTTTGATCAAGAAGCCCTCGCAAAACGAATTGTAACGTTCTATGAAAATCGTTCAAGTGATAAAAAGGAATTAACATATAAACATTTTAAAAATGAAGGAATACCAATGTCAACTATATTTAGTATTCTTGCAAAGTATGAGAAGTATGGTGTGTATAATGATTTGGTTAGATCAGGTTGTCCTCCAAAAATGGATAAGAAAAAAGTCAAACGATTGACTAAAATGCTAAATAATTCAACTGGTATTAGTCAAAAGTATTTAGCTTCATATTTTACATGCATTTTTTTACGACTCTATAAAAAAAGTTCGAAGACTTGTGCATAACCCGTTATGTTTGAAAACCTTATTTATGATTAATTATAAAATTATTAACATTTTTTACTATTTTAACTTTTTATCTTCAAATATATGTTACAAGTTCAAATAATTAGAGCTCTTTCCTTATAATTTTATTATACTAATATTATTTTTAATCCAAATTTGACAGAACACTTGTTTTTAAATACCAAACTTCTTATCAATAAAACAGTAGAAACCAGATCCCTTATATTATTCAAATTTTTGAATTTTCTTTAAGTATATCTAATAAATTACTTTTTTAATTGTCATCTAAAAAAAATTTAACTTTGAGTATTTATCAAAAAATACTTATTTTTCAAAAATGACCAAATATAGTAATTTGAACCCAGTCCACAAATTTAGTTTATTATTAAAAATTTAAATTTTCCTATAACAAGCAAAAAAATATTTTTCTAAAAAGTCCTCAATGAGTTTTCTAGGATTTCTTAACCACTAGTTATGATCCTATTTCCAAAACTTTGCCTTCTGGACCCACTGTGCCCCTTAACAACACCTGCACCTCACTGAGCCCACTGTGCCCCTTAGGTCCTGTAATGTTTTGTATTCTTATTTATATGGAAGAGAATTAACGATGTTTTTTGTTAAAAAGTATTTTAAAAATATTTAATTGTTACAACTAGTTATATATAAACTGTGTATAGTCTTCTCGTGTCGTTATTCTAACTCCTATTGAGTTCAGCGCTATGGCTTTTAAGTGAGAATTCCTCGTACGGAATTAGTTTCTCATGGGAACACTTTTGCTATCAGTTTTTATTTAATTCTCTAAGGGGAATTGCTTATTTTGCAATCACTAATCGTTATTCTAAGTGAGCATTTGAAATAATTGTCCAGAGAGAATTGTTTTCGTAACAATCATTACCCTCCTTTAAATTAAAAACAAGTAACATTTTAAAAATTTGATTAAAATCATGTTTTATGCATTTAAATTTTTCTGCTTTTATTATTACTTATTACTTGCTGTTTAATAATTGTGATATAAAATGGAAACAAGAAGTACAACAGATTTTCTAAAGTTACAAAGGGAAGGTTGCAAGGGAAAAATGATGGGAGCTGGTAAGAATGAAAAAAATGTCAAACCGAAATGGCAAAGAAACAGAAAAAATGTATATGAAAAGATCACGTAAATCCTATTCATTAAACAAAACAGTAATTCTTGGATGTTGCCAAGATCAGTGACCGATCAGCCTCTTTAATAATAATTGCGAAATCTGGGAAAAGATCTAAATAGTTACAATGTGAGCTATTCGTCGATACAAAGGGCTAGACAAAAATCAAGAAAAAATTTTGGAAAAAGAGACTTATAAAACTGACAAACGATTGTTTGTTGATTGGGATGGCAAACTACTTAAAGACATTGTTCGCAATGAGGTTGTAGATTGGTTGCCAGTCCTAATATCTGGCAGTGGAGATGATGAATTGCTTGGAGTGCCAAAATTAGATCATGGTACAGGAAAGGAGATTGCAAATGCAGTACATCAGTTGGTCATTGAATGGAATCTGACATATAATGTAAAAGGTATATGCTTTGACACAACTTCATCAAACACCAGTCGTAGAAATGGAGCTTGTGTCTAACTTGAACAAAATATGGAAAAAGATTCGTTATGGTGTCCTTGTCGACATCATATCCTTGAAATCGTGTTGGAAGCAGTGGTATCCATAGTATTGTCAGCTTCATAAGGCCCTGACATTCAGTTATTTAAAAGATTTTAAAAAAATTGAAGTAATATAATATATTATAGTAATAACTTCGTTTGATAAATTAGACAATTATCCACAAAAAGAAAAAGAAGAAATCATGCAATTTGCAGTAAAAACCTCAAAGAAGATCAACTTCAAAGCGATTACAAAGAATTTTTGGAACTTTTAATTATATTGCTTGGCGGTATACTCCAAAAGCTGGAATTAAATTCAGAAAGCCTGGGGCTTATCACAGAGCATGTTGGATGGCGAAAGACATTTATTCCATGAAAATCTGTATGTCCATAACTCAGTTTAAAATAACAGCTAAAGAAGAAAAAAAACTAAAAGAAATGTGTCTGTTTTCTGTTGCATTATACACTAAGCATTGGTTCTTGGCTCCCCATGCAATAAGTGCTCCACGAAATCATCTAAATCTCCTTAAGATTCTTGACAGCTACAAAAGTAAAAATGAAGAATAAGTAAATATTGCACTTGGCAAATTTAAGAATCATTTGTGGTATCTCTCTGAAGAGTTAATTGCATTGGTGTTCTTTGATGATAAAGTAAGCTTTGACACCAAAAAAAAAATGAAGGATGCTATTACAAAACCTTCGGAAACAGATCCTCCAAAGAAGACAGAAATAGATATCAAAACTATTGACTCTAAGCAGCTTGAAGATTTTGTAACAACTAACACAAATTCTTTTTTAGTATACTTGGATTGTCTTCATTATTCTTAAGCAAACCAGTAGAAGGTTGGCCTCTTGATAAGAGTTATTCGAAAGCATATAATGTAGTAAAACAAATGAAAGTTGTTAATGATATTGCTGAAAGATGAGTGAATTTGATTAATGATTACAACAAATTAATCACCAATGATGAGCAACAGAAACAATATCTATCACAAGTTGTATCAAATTATTGGAGGAAGCTCCAGGACAAATCTAAGGCAAGTATTTTATCTTTGGCACGAAGATAAAACCTAAAGTATAAGTTTTATAATGTATTATATTATAAGATATCTTTTAAAAATTTCCATTGTTTTGTACTTTGTTTATTAGTAAATAGAAAATAGGAAATTGGTTTTTATAATCCTAGCAGGGAACTTTCACTATAAAAAGTGAAAAAATGACGCTGCTGCACCTCCCGGGTGTAAAGGGAATCAGCAAATTTCCAAAATATGGCTTTTCTCAAATTTTTGAGTTTCTACAATTTTCTATTAGCTGGTGCACCCCCTAAATATTATTGTTTTAACCTACAATTTCACACAGATTGTTTTTATAAATATTAAAACAAATAAGGAGGTCTCCCAAAACATTAAATGATTTTTTTTTTACATTTACCCTTACATTTACAATTACAATTTTACATTACCCTTATTTTGCATCACCCTAATATACACACACACACACACACACACAAACAAACACACACACACACACACACACACACACACACACACACACACACACACAAACAAACACACAATCACTGTATATAAATATGCTGTTTATAATTTAAAATTTTGTAAGATTTTAATTTGTATATTCAACGTTTATTTTTTAAAAGTTCTCATTTGGTTATTATCAAAAATAAATAACGGTTTTATATAACGTTGATTTTTCAAAAGTGCTCATTTAGCATCAAAAATAAAGTTTTATATTTAGTAAATACAAGTAAGTTTGATTGTTGCTTTAGCATAGTTATACAAATTGTTATAAAATATTTAACATATTTAATAACTTTTATTGTTTACAAGTAATATTACTTACAATAATTTTTTTATTACAACTTTGTCATTGTTTTATAGGTTATTGGTATACCGTTAGATCTTTGTAGTGAAGTGAAAGACACGTTTTTAGATCTTGGTCAATCAGTAGGCATGGATTTTATTGAGATTCCAAAAGAAAAAGATCTTAGTGAGGTTGACTTTTTATTTTACATATAATCTTAATTGTATTAAAAGTTATGATTTATTAAGATAAAATTATATTTCAGTTTTTCAATTTTTTTGTTAGATGGTTGCAGTCACAACACCATATTTCTTAGTCGAATTGTCAACAGGTGAACGTTTGTTGCATAAAGTTAAAGGAAGAATGCCGCTTCAGTTTGGCAGGTAATAATTTTTTTTTTTTTTTTTTTTTAAAAAAAATACTTTTTAGTTTTAAAATGTTTACAATTTTTGTATTCCCAATGTTTTTAGGGAAGCTTTGACTAGTCCTTCATTGTTAAATCTTCCGGATCGTGTTGATTGGAAACAATGTAAACTTTCTGTCGAAGAAGAATCGAAGTGTGCAAACAATTTAAGAAAAAGATTCCAACCATACGACTTTAATTTTGATTAGCTTTTTATCAATTTTTCAATTCACTATCTTTGTATTTCGATCGATGTTAATATTATTTGATAGTTTATTTGTAAAAAAAATTAGTTGTTTTTTCTTGGTAACAATGGTTGTTATTTTTATTATAGAGTATGTTGAGGCAAGTAGAATTCTAATAAACTTTTATTAAAAGTATGTTGAATAATCCTCTCAATAATGAATTAAAATTAAAAAAATAAAATTCTTTATTTGGTTAATTTATAACAAATATTAGTAAAGAAATCATAGTTAGTGAAAAACACAAATATCAAAAGATGTAAATAAAAATTTCCGGTATTAATAACGGTATTCAATAAGCAAAAAAACGGTGATAGCGGAAATCATAAACCAAATATCGGTAGTACCAAAATCATTGCATGCTCTAACTTCAAGCAATTTTAAGCCAAGACTTTAATCCTCTGAAAATTCCCGCGTTTTTTACATGATTACAGTTAACCCTCAAATTTTTTTTATAAAAACATTTGTAAATTTTTTATTGTGTTACTATATACTTTATAAAGATTTATATATATTTAAGGCAAATTTTATTAAAGAACAAAAAAAAACTCTTTTTAACTTTATATTTTAAAAACTATTTAAACTTAAAAACAAATTTAAAAAAATAAAATGCTGGTTTAACTCTTTTAAGATAAGAGTAAATAAAAAGATGTTAGTTAATTAAGATTAAATACTAATTAATATTATTAATCAAAAGTAAAGTCGATAAGGATCTGAATCTCTCCATAAAAAAATATGTAAATATATAGGTTATGATTCGCCTAAAGTGACAATAGGTTGGAAAGATAAACTTTAAAATAAATTGAAAAAGCTTATCTGTACTACCAGATAACTTTAGAAGAAGTTATGCGCTCTGTCACTAACCGGAAGCATTTGTTTCAATTTTGCTTAGAATTCGAAAAGAGTTTCATGAGTTTTAAGTTTATTAGATATAAATTTATTCCATACTTTAAGGTAAGGAAGGAAGCGTGAACTTCCTGGTTAAATGCACTTCCGCGGTGCTCTGACAAGACCGTTAGGTTTTGTTGGGGCACCTAAATAAATAACAAAATAAAAAAAAAATTATTGAGTCTTTTATTTTACAACTTAGAGTAAGATTGCCTAACATTAGCAGGTTCCAAAGACGGTATTTTAAATTTTATAACTACGCCTTTGCGGTATGTATTTTGTTGTTGATTTAAATACGAGCCAAATTTGATCACCCTTGGCGCAGTGGTTGAAGCGCTGTCTTCAGAATTGGGAGGTATAAGGTTTGATGAATGCTTCGTAAACTTATTGATTGTTAATTAAAAAAATAATAGTAATAAACTTCGTAGTTTTAAAAAAAAACGTTAAAAGTGCAGACCAGATAATCGGTTGAAAATTAACTTATCTCAAATCGGTTAAAAATGAAAATCTATAAAAAATAAATCGAAAAATAGGTCGAAAAATAAATTGGTCGAAAACGAAAACGTCATAAATCGGTTCAAAATAAGACTCTAAATAATCGATTGAAAACAATTCAGGCCTTAGTAGGTTATCTGAAAATTAGTTCCACTTTTTAATAGATGTTCTTTTTGTAGAACAACTTAGTAGGTCGACGTTTTTTTGGTCAAACTATCTGACACGCATTTTATCTTAATGGAAAGTGCAAATTTGTTAAAGTTGTTCTCTACCCGAGGGAAAAAAAAATTAAAAATTAGCTTTTATCTCTATCTTATCTAATATCTTATCTAATAAGTTATTAGATAAGATAGAGATTAATTAATTAAAATAATAGAAAAAACATTTAGATATAATAGAAATAACAATTATTAATGTTTTTAAATGATTTAAATTTATTAACCCGTTCGTACACCATGTGTACAAACGTACACAATTCATTTTGTTCATTTTTCACAATAAAACTTAAGCAAAACAATAATTAAAACACGATGTGTACATTTGTGCACACCAGTCCTATTTTATAATTTATTAAAATTAATATTTCAAGAAAATTTTACATACCCCATAAGAAGGTCTAATACATTTGTTTTATAAAAAAAAAAAAAATTTTAAACACATTCTATGTGCACGTGTACGAAGGGGTTATGGGGATATGGGGACGGATACCGCCGTAATACCGCGGTGATGGGGGCAGTTTTAAAATAAGTGAGGGTAATAGCGCAGTAATGGGACGATGTTTGCAGTAATACCTCGGTAGTGGTAATGACTCTTTTTATACATGTTTCAAAAATTAATTTTCAATATGAATTTTTTGCCTTTAGACAAACGAGACAGAAAAAGTAATAATTTCAGAATCAACTAGAATAACTTTTATTAAAAATTCTGGAACAAATGATAACTGGCCTAATTTTCAAAAAGTTGAAGTCGACGGCATGTTTGCTTCACATGTTAAATGTATAAACTGTAATTCACTTTTAAGGTGAAAATCTCGTGACGACACTAGCGGCTTAAAGGCTCACACAAAGGCCTATATTAGAACATAAAGATGATAGGACTAGAAGTCTTTTACATTTAACATTGAACATAATTTTAAATGTTAATTTAATTACAGTATTATAATAAATACACATATTTATGTTTTCTAAAATTCATTTTGTTTTCTACATTTTTTATTAATACATTTATATTTGTCTTCTCTATGTGTTATAAATGTTTTAAAAAAATGAAAATCTATATTAGTATTAAAAGGAATAATACAATATGTTATAATATTTAATAGAAGTAATAATTTCGTTTGCGGGGACATTGCGGGGAAATCTAAAAGAAATGCGGTAATGGGGTGGGAATGGGGACATTCCCACCCCATTACCACCCCCATTCTCATCCCCATCCCACGGTAGCGGGATGGGGATGAGAACATAGTTCGATGAATGGGGTGGGGATGGGGACAAAAACCCGTCTCTATGTCACTCTCTAATTTTTACTTTTTTCCTTAATATAGTCGTTAAAGATACTACATTATTTTGTAATTTGATTTTTTTTTTGTTTGCTGAAATATTTTTTTGTAACCTTAATTTCTTGTAAATATTTTATTTTAAATAGTATTTAGGAAAATATATTCATAAAAGTAGATAATATTAAAGAAGTTTAATTTTAAAATTATCAAACACATATTTACAAAAACTACTTGAACAGCAGAATATAAAGAAAAAACCGCATCAATTTTAAGTAAGAAAATTACTAAAAGTAAAGATAAAGTAACAAAAAGATGCAAAAAACAAATTATCAATATTTATGGTGCTCCATGTATTATATGTAGAGAATAAATTGATGAATTGCTGTATGAGGAATAATTTCAGTGCTTCGATAGTCGGGGATGGTTCAACAAAAATTGGTATTTGTTTTAACTATTTACCAATAAACTCTAAATCAGAGTTGTTAGTAATTGGCCTTGGTCTTGGCCTTGGCCTGGCCTTAAGGCCAAGAATTTAGGCCTAGGCCTTGAAACTTTTGACCTTGGCCTTGGTCTTGAAAATTTTGGTCTTGGCCTTGATTGTTTTGGCCTTGGCCTTTAAAAAAATACATATTTTTTAATGATTTTGTTAAATTCTGCACATAACCTTGGTCTATTTTAACAAAATGTGGTTTTATTTTTACAGTGCTCGGTACTTACAGTTTTGTGAAAAATTGGCCTTAACGTATTGAAAAAATTGAAGTCTTAAGTCTTAAAAATTTTCGCGTACGTCTTGGCTTTGAAACTCTTAATCTTTGCCTTGACCTCAAAACTCTTGGCCTTGGCCTTAACCTTATAACTTTTGGCCTTGGTCTTAACCTTATAACTTTTGGCCTTGGTCTTAACCTTATAACTTTTGGCCTTGGTCTTAACCTTATAACTTTTGGCCTTGGTCTTAACCTTATAACTTTTGGCCTTGGTCTTAACCTTATAACTTTTGGCCTTGGTCTTAACCTTATAACTTTTGGCCTTGGTCTTAACCTTATAACTTTTGGCCTTGGTCTTAACCTTATAACTTTTGGCCTTGGTCTTAACCTTATAACTTTTGGCCTTGGTCTTAGTCTTGGCCTTGTAACTTGTGGCCATGGCCTTGGCTTTGCTACTTTTGGTCTTGTTTGGCGATTATTACTAATCGTTTCTTTTTTTATAATTGTAGCTTAGTTTATTTGATTTATAATATATTAACATTTATTAATATTAATATATTATATTAATATAGTGTCTGAAAAGCTTGAGTTTTTGTTACCTCATCTCTTAAAACTTGCTTTTTATTTGCATACATGTTTATTTTTATTTGTTAACATTTGTCAAATAAAATGTCGCATATCTTGCATTAAAAAAAGCTTATCTTAAGAAATTTAATCTTAAGAAATTTCATCATAAGAAATTAGTTCCCCAAGATATGACGATTAGGTTTGTTGAAAAATTTTGGAGAAAAGCTTTATTTTTTTAGTAACATTTCATTGTTATTCTTTGAGAGGAAATAAAGACGATTGAGAGGAAAAACTAAATCTTCACACAATCTTCAAAAAATATATATCTTTTTGTAATTTTTTCGGAGCAAAAAACATTTTACTGTTAACTTGCTCAACTTAGTTTTTAATAGTTTTTAACTCATTGTTTATTAGTTTGTTCCATAATTTAGATTTTCTGATTGTGATCGAGATCTTAGTAGCAGAATAATTTGTTTTTTATTGAATATAATTGTTATTTGAAAATCGTGTTGTTTTATAAATGTTTTTCTTTTTTAAATGAGTTGTCACGCCTTAAAAAAGAAAGCTTTACAAAGTCAAGATTTACAACAGCAAACTAGAGTCTTTCGCTTGTAAAGTGACGGAGAGAATTAGCACAGTTAACATAATAAATCACTGTGCACAAATGTCAAAGTCTCAACATGGACTTGTACATCACAAAAGCTTCCTTACAAACCTCATTGAATCCGCAACAATTTGAAGAATGCAGCTTACCGTGGACAACAGGTTCATAAAATTTTTAGCAACTTTGCCAAAACATTCAACACTTATGTTTATGGCATTTGAGGCTATTGCACTTCTAGCAATTAGACAACAATGAGTTATAATATGAAAATAAACGTCCCAGTGGAAAAA